AACCTAATGCATTTCCCTCATGTCTCAGTTGATGGGTGTGATGATAAGTCAGATTTAGAGCCTCCCTCACCTTACAGCTGTCCACAGTGGTGTATTGTGTGCAGAAACCTAGCTCCTTTCAGGGTTCTGCACATAGGGAGATCACATCCAAACTTTCTTCTTCCTCCTTTCTCCCTAGTTCAAACCCAAGCGTGTGGGAGCAGGATTTCCAAAGAAATCCAACTTGTTCCAGACAGCCTCAGAACTGCTGAAGATCCAGGAGGAGAGTGATGCAAAACCAGTCAAAAAAGAAGTAGATTGTCCAAATGGGCAAGACAACAGCAGCTGCAGTCTGGAACTGGACACCAGAAACACTGTTGTCCAGAGGGAAGAAACAGCAACCCAAGCAATGTGTGAGAATGCTGGGGTAGAAATACACCCTGAAAAGAAGGGACAGCAACCCAGTCCAGACAAAAAGGCTGCACTTTGGGAGAGCCCCACTAAGAAGTCCAAACGTAGCAAGAAGCAGCAAATGCTCGCAGAAGCAGCTAAAAAAGAATCACAAGATATTTCCAAGTTCTTCTCCCTCTCCAAAGGTGGCTCTAAAGCCAAAAGTTGCAGCTCAGCAAAGGAAGAGGGCTGTTCTGCAAGCACACTACCTCAGGTTTCTTCTCAAAGCACGTGTCAAGAGAAACCAACATCTCAGGAAGGCAGAGATGTCTCTGGAGTTCTGACTGGACAGTCCCAGGCAGAGAATAAAGAACTGAGAGAAACAGAAGTAACACAGACTGAGAAGGGGGAGGATTTTAAGACCCAGCAAGCTGCTGAATCTGAACTCCTTCAGGAAGAAATTGATGTAAAGTCCAGGTAAAATCCCTATCTCTCTGCTCCCCGTGTTGCCCTGTTAAGCTGCAGAGTCCCACCAGCCTTGTCCTGGAAACTGGGAATCTGTATGAGATCTCTGGGTGGGTGAGGGAGACTCTTGCTTTACCATGGAGGGTCCCATAGCCACTAACAATGAATGCAGGGATATTTGCTCTGTGGAATAATTACAGTTGGCCTTCTCTCCACTCTTCCCACTAGTGTTGCTGAAAATGTCTCAGAAACTGAGTTACCTGTTGTTGGGGAAGGTGAGAGTGGGAAGCGGGCAGGATCAGTTGAGGTAAGGCTTCAATGAATGCTAATTTCCTCTGTTTCTTCTGCTCATCTCGTGCCAAATTTCTCTCTGAGAGTGATGCTCCTTCTCTGAACCTCACCTGAGAGTGTTATTTATCTGGGGAGGGCCCAGCTGCAGTTGCACCAGAGAGAACCCCAGTTGTGTTGCAGTCCTGGTGTTTCCCTGCTGCCCACTGGGCCATGGCAGCACCCTGGGCTGCAGTGGAGAGCTTCCCCTCCACTGCATTGTTTCCTCCTGTGTGCAACACATGTGACTGTGCCCTTGCTGGTGACTTGCCTGGAATGAGTCTCTCGACCCCCTCTAGATCTGTAATGAACTATAATTAGCAGCTGCTTTCTCAAGTTCAGGGAACAACCACAGGCCAATGACACACGGGACCATTTGGAAGCGACCTGTACTCGCAGCCTGCCTTGCCATTCAGTCTCTGCTTCTGCATTTGGCATCTGAGACTGCCTGGCAGCTGTCTCTGCAACAGTGCAGTCTTCTTTTCTTTCAAACTGAACAGGCACATGGCACTCCTGATATGGCTGATTCTTCCTGAGGGGTGTATTCTCAGCAGAGATCCTGAAAAATCATTTCCAGTCAGTTTTTCCTGTATACGACAGGGTCTAGCAATTAGCTGCCCTTATAAGAGCACGGGGTGATTCTAAATGTGATGTTCTTAAAGAAAAGTCTCAAAGTCCCTTTGTGTGGCAAATAGTGTATTATGTCTTCACAGCAAAATGGGTTACAGAGATTCCTACGTGGTATTCACTGTAGGGAGAGTCTGCAGGATGCTGCAAAGATTTGTTGTCCTGGAAGGTAGTGGGTGCTTGGAAGCGGAATACTGCTCCCGAAGTGGTGGGTTTGATTCTTCTCTGTCTCCTCTCCAGGATATGGAAAGTCCCGCAACAAAGCGGCTGCGGACAGCGGCAAAACCTTCTATTCTGTCCCAGCCAGACTGCAAAAGTGCTGGCCCAACAAAGAAGAAGGTGACTTTTGATTCAAACTTAGAACGGTGTGATAAAGAAGGAACCAGCAAGACCATACAGCCAGTGACCAAAGGCGTGTCCCTTAAAGACACTGCAGACATCGTTGTCAAATATCTGACCCCGTTCTACAAGGGTGGCAAATTTGCTTCCAAGGTAGGGCACAGCTCATGACCCTCTTTAGCAGAAGGCTACAGCTCATAGTGATCTGGGGCTCTAAGAAGGGGGGAGATGATCTGGATACCACATTTCATTTCCAACTTGCATCTTGGTATGTGCTGTTTCAGTGACTCCAGGTGCAGGAACTCACCTCTCCCACAAAAAGGTTTGTGTGTGTTTGGAGTGGTATCATATTAGTTCCACACTTATTTATGGTTGTTCATGTTTTCACATTAAACTTTGACACACTTTTAACTCCCACCTGTGGAGCAGCAACAGCTCAGGTTCAATTCTGGTGTAGTTTCCTTGATGTGTCCTGCAAGGCAGGTTGTGTGTGCCAGCACTGCAGGGTCGGGTGTGTTTGCAGGTGTGCAACACCCCTGTAGTCTCAGTCTAGGAATGGTGTGTGCTGCAGCCAGCCCGTGCTGAGGGCAAGACAAACATGGGAACAGTCTGGTAACTGATGTCTGCTTTCTGCTCTTTGTCTTCCCTGATTCTGCAGGAGCTGTTTAAGGGCTTTGCCCGGCACCTGTCTCACTTACTGACCCAGGAGCAGAACCCTGCCCGCAAGACAGGTGAGAGCACTGAGAGCCTGGGGTTCTTTCAATGCCAAGTGGATGGATGTCTTTAGAGGTGGCAGATGTCTTAAGTTTCGACTCAGAGGTGATGTTTCCTCTCTTGCAGTGAAGGAGGAAGCACAGAGACTCATCAAGGAGTTTTTCAAAACAAGGGTCAGGTGTGAGAGTGAGGCAGACTGGCAGGAGCTGCAGAGCTGGGAGAGCTGATCTGTGCATCCTGTTGGTTGTCTTTCTTCCTCCAGCAGCATGACCAGGGGATCTTGAAAAACTCTGCCATGGAGAGTTTTGTGAGACTGCAGAAGCGAGATTTTTTTTTTCCTCCCACTGCATTTTTGCTCAATTCTGTCCTTAGTGACAAACAGTTCCAGGAAACCAGTTTCTGTGAACTTACAGAGAGTTTCTCCAATAACTGGGGTGCTGAAGCCCTCAAGGACCAAGAGGTGTGAAGTTGCATCTGCTGTGTTTGTTAGGGGCTGCTGCCTGAGATGTTCTGCACTGTCTCCAACCTCTGCTCCCTGCAGCAGTCTGGGAAGGGCTCAGACTTTCCAACTGGGACTCTGCTTTGGGATGGCACCTTGTTCCTAGATGGCTCCTCCCCTCACTCCCTGTCTTAGTTCTTATTTCAGTGTTACCACTAGAAGCCTTATGCTACATGTTCTTATGCTTTGCTCAGGGCTGCCAATGACAAACTCCATGGTTGAGTTCCTGGATGGAATGTTTTCCTTTGAAGGGCAGGAGGGAAGTGTTTTGTTCTTACTGTGCAGGCAATGCCTAGTTTCTGAGGGTGAAGAAACTGGAATTCTTTTTCTTTTAATGTGAACTTTTTTTAAACTTTGTCTAGTTTTGTCTGCCCTTTAACTTAAGTGGTGATGCTCTTTCAGTGTTAACCTCAACAGCACTTTCTAGCATTTTCTTGTAACCCCTAAAGCCATATCTGCCCCCTGTGCCTCACCAAAAATCTGCAATACAGAGGGCAGTGCTGCTGTTAGAACTGGTTCAGGTACTGCTGTGGCCCTCAAATTGACACTGTGGTGTCTCTGCTGCTATGTTTATGTGGGACCTAACCTGATTCCCTGGCACAAGTCCCTCCTGTTGGATTTTTATTGGGTTCTGCCTTTGTTCCATGCCCACAGAGGCTGGTGGCCTCAGGCACTATTGCTGCTGAGGGATCTGCAGCTGAGAGGCCATCGGTCAGGCTTTTGGAGCACTGTACTCCACAGATGTATTTTTTTAGATGTACTGAAGTATATGCAGAACTGACAATAAAATAATGTTATAGCTGCTGTGGACTGTTCCTGGAAGCTTTTTCTTACCACTCACTCATACAGACTGGTGTAAGGTCCATTAAGCAGCACTCGAAGGGAAGTACCTGATGGGAAAGATGCTGCAGTTCCTGCTGGAATCACCTCACCAGCAAGAATCCAGCTGTGCCTCATGGCTTGCACTGAGCACCCTCAGATCTATCCCGTTCCCTGCCAACAGTGACAGCCTTTTTTCCTCAAGCTTTGCCTGTTACTTGCAGGTCAGTTTTCCTGGATTAAGATGCAAGATCTGTCACGCCACACCTTCAAAACATATCTGTGATTACTTTATTGCAATTTCCTAAAGGGCAATAAAAATAAATTAGGCATTTTTGTACAACCCAAAACACTCTACTATAATGTAAGTGCTGTTTGAATATGCTTCCTCTGTGGGCATGGAGCCATCATTGAAGCCTGACAGCTGCATGGACATGACTGACTTCTTTATAGTAGAGGGAAGCAGATGCATATAATTATGTCAGTGAGAAATTAATTAACAATAAACTTTTGTGCCATTGCACATCAATCTGTGCCCCAGCATATGTGCTAATTGTATTATTAACACTGATCTGCTTTTCGATTAAGGTGCTTTCTGTAAACTCCTGCTTCACCAATCCTGTTCCAGGGCCTTATGCATATCAATGCAGAGACAAAACTGGCCTCTGGAAAACACCAGCAGCCAGTGCAGGCATTGCATAGCCTCAGCTGGGCATTGGGATACACAAATCTCTAGCAAGCACCAGGCTTTGCTAAAGTTAATTAATTCAAAAAAGAAAAGAGGACTTCCACACTGCATTGCTTGAAGGCAAGTGTTTGCATTGGTTCAGCTGCTCTTTGTTGGAACTGTGGTGTGGAGAGGGCCTTGTGGTTTGTTTATCCACAGCATGGATTGCTTCAGGGAAGTACTTGGGTACTGAATGGCAGGTCACCAGGGGTGAGATTGTGGTACAGTCCATCAACAAACACTGTGGTGGCAGCCTTAGAAAGCAGCTGTCTCAGGTCATGGCTGTCTTCTGGAAGTGTTCTCTGCAGAAGGCAGGTCAGGGAGCACTGATCAAGTACAAAGGAAGAGAGACACAGCTGTTTTCCTTGGTCATTCTCCTCCTTTCAGGCTCTAGGGGTGGAGCTCTGTTTTGTCCAGGATGACAACAAGCGTGTGGTACAGTTCTTTAGCCTGTCAAAACACAAATCAGCATCAGTCATTCTTTGCCCCAGAAACAGCTGCTGCTTATAATTAAATATTCCCATAAACCACTTTCCATAATTAAATATCAGGTATGTGCTGGAACAAGGCTGCATTTGGAGCCTGGGAAATGCAATGATCCCCTCCCTCCTTCTGTGGAGCAGGAGAGAGCAGAAGCACTGTCTCAGCAGAGGCTCAGCTGGGCAGTGGAGGGCAATTCCTGAGTTGCCAAGAGGAAGCTGCAGGCCCAGGCTGATCTCACCTGTTTCAGTTCAATCCACATGGTCTTGGGGATGGCAGGTGATCCGTAGTTCAGCTCCAAGCCGGGAAGTCCATCTTTGGACATGGGCTTCAGGGTGCGCATCTTCTGCACCTCCTTCAGGGGAATGACCCGGGACACGGCCTGGGGAGGAGAAAAGCCACAGACCACTCTCTGGTGCAGTCCTTACAAATTAAACCATGGGATTCTCCACGAGAAGGAGTCACCTCAAGAGCCCAGTGAAAGCTGAGCAAGGTCTGGGGCACAGGGTGGTGTGTGCAGAACACAGGGCAGGCTCCTGCTGACAGCACAGCCCTGGAACTGCCACGGCACTGGGACAAACAGGAGTGTGACACACAGGTTTACTGTGGACTGTGCTTGTTAGCATGAACATTGGACTTGCAAAAGAGCACATGGCACTAATGACTGTTCTACCACTCTTGTCTCTTGCTTTCTTGCTGTGATAAAGAGAAGTACAGCCTCTTCCTGCACAGGTTCTTCTAAAACTCAAAGTTAATATCTGACAGACACTGGGGGGAATTGTCTGGCATACCTTGGTGATGCCATTCACCACAATGATCTCCTCTTGATTCACACCAAAGAAACAGGGCGCAGGGATCGTCTCATCGCTGACTCTCTCCACGATGAACATGGTGTAGCCAAAGAAAGGCAATTTCATCACATGTTCTGTAGGAAAGCAAAAGGTGGCCTGAAGGGAGCAGCTTCCAGCCAGCAATTTACTACACCAGCCTAAGGTGGTCAAAACTGCCAGTGTTCCCAAGCTTTTCTACATTAAAAAGTAGGAGTGGCAACTTCTCCCTCCCCACCAGGCTGCTGATACCCAAATCTCAGCAGCCTGAAAGGATGTGCCATTCTTTTCCTACCAGAAAACAGATGTGCAGCCAGAGTGTCAATTAAAACACAACTTATAGAGAGCTTTGAAAATCTGCTGCAGAATTCTACAACAGGTGGAACTTCGACCCTGATCCTGTGCTTGGGAACAAGTTCCAATCCACAGTGAGAGGCTGTCAGGGAATTCTGTTGCCATTGCCCATTCCAGGCTCCAAGAATCCTCAACAACCTCATGAACTGTCCCAAAAGTGTGTTCAGAGCAGCTTCCATCATGCTCAGGATGGACAACTGAAGCAGATCTGGATGTCTTCTCACCTATGAACTGGATTTTTGCATCCAGTGGCTGGAGGGGCTGCCTTGTCCTCAGCAATGTGGCAACCTGATTCTCCAGAGCCATGGAACCGATGGAGTGCTGCAGGGTCTGTGGTGTGTATTTCTTCAGCTCTTCCCTGTGCCAACAAGAAGATTCTAATTCACCCCCTGCCCAGCTAAAATAGAACATCAGCTGGGGGATTAAGGTAACAAAGGGGATGAGGCAGCAATTTTCAATTGTGTGTCTGAGGGGAAGGGTGAAGGGGGAGAGGAAAAGCACAGCAGGTTGTATCTGCACTAGATCAGGTGGAAGGAAACATCAGAGACAGTGAGACCACCATTTTCTATAGAGAAATCAGCTGTGCACCACTGAGCACTAATTATCCAGAAGTACTTCCAGGCACCTGCTCCTAACCCCTGTGGTGCCAACATCAGAGAAGCAGAGACCCACCCTGGCCCCAACATACCCAGAGGGAGCAGAGTTCTGCTGCTCTGGTTTGGCCCAGTGCTGGAGCATTGCCAAAAGGCCCACTTGCATCTCTGTTTCTTTACTCTGGGTCAGCAGGATCCTCCCATTCAGGTAATCCCACAGCACCTGAGAGACAGCACAGCAAAGAGGCCTTTGTTAAACCTACCAGAAGGTACAGGCAGGTCTGGGCAGTGCCAGGCTGCAGAGACCCACATCCTGCCTTCCTGATGATAACACATCCCATTCGGGCTGATAACGCAAAAGCAAAGGCAGGCTGGGCTCAGGAAGAGCCTGTGGAGCTGCACAAACCGTGTGTGGAACAGCCCAGCTCCCAGGCTAGGCCCACAGGCACACTGCCTTCTGTGCATCCACAGGTTCAGTCATTCCCAGAAACAGCACACAAAGCCGATCTGCCAAAGCCCTCCTGCTTTTCCAGCCCCCTCGGGACATTCCCAGTGGCCTGAACACAACCTCTGTCCCTGTCAGGGAGCCCCGGGGAGGGCCCTGCTGTTCTTACCTGTCCATAGTGGACGTCTGTATAGATTTGGTTCTCGAAGTGCAGAGGTGTTGTCCAGGTGAGCCTGCGCAAAGTCAGGGTGACCATCTTGTCCTCCAGCAGGTAATCGTGGAGATACTCCTCTGGTTTTATTGGCTTCACTATTCTACCTACATGTTACACAGAGAGAGGGTCATTCATCCCTCTTGATGATGAGGCAGCGGGCTGAGCACCACGGCCTGGGACAGTTCCTGTACACCTCTGTTCCCCCCTGCCCTTACAGCTCCAAGAATCAGCCATTCCAAAGGGACACAGACCCACACACCTCTTTCAGGAACAAGCAACACAGATCCTGAGAAGGATCAATCCTTAACCCTAATACAGAGGGAAACTGCTTGAGAGGAACCTCCTGTGAGCCAGGAAGGGTCAGGGAACTATTGAAAGCCAGAGCCATGGTGCTCCCTGTTGCAGGTACTGCTTTCGGAAGAAACTTGATGCTGATCTCTACTTGCCAAGATTTTTCTTGTCAGTCCTGATAGCAAAAAGAAAAAAGTCCTGTATCTCTTCCTGTTCAACTACTCCCATCTGCTCACAGATCTCCTGCAAGAGCTCCTTGGCCACCTGAAGCAAGGAAAGAAGAAAATGAATACCATGACCAGGCAAGCCCAAAGCAGCCCCAGAGCAGGTAGACATATTACCCCTTGGCAGGTGAGGGATTTCCCTGGTGTGGCTCAGAGTCCAGACCAAAGAAGAAAGTCACAGCTGAAAACTCACCGTGAATGTCCTGATCCTGGTGAGGTATTCCATGCCTCCAGGCATCAGTATCACCAGCCGGCGGGCACCGTGCCCCTTCTGCAAGGGACAGTCTTTAGGCAGCAAGACATGCAGGATCCCACCAGCCCCACAATTGTTTCTCCCTCTTCTTCCTCATCTGTGCCTTCCACTGCTTCTCCATAGCACCTGCCCCTTCCCTGCCCATATTCCTGCTCACTCCGTGGCATTGCACTTCCCAAACCCCCTTACATCCACATGATTCATTTCCTCTCATGGAGCACTAACTGCCCCTGTCACACTCACATGGCACCTCCTGGCAACCCTCTGCCCTCCCCCTGTTCCCAGCATCCCCATTCCCTGCCCCTCAGTACCAGCAGTGCCTCCATCTCCACAGGGAAAGGAAGGTTTCGGCGGCCCCCGTACATGAAGTTCTTCCGCAGGTTGCTCTGGCAGATCTTGGCTATATCTGCAGGAAGAGGGAAAAGCTCCATGTGCTGAGCCAAAGAGAGAACTGAACATTGTGTCCTGTGGTGTTGGGTCACCCTGGCTGTGTCAAATTTAACCCTTGGGCACTGCTAGGAGAGCAAAGAGACTTGACCTCAACTCCCACTCTGCCAGGACACATCTAAATCATGAGGAGCCAGGCACGGACAGCATCCAGGACAGCAGGAGAACAGAGGAGTGACAGGATGGGAAGATTAGAACTAGAATGTTTGTTTTATAGGACACAGACAGTCATACCTTGGTGGGTGCTGGATGGATCACTGCTGGCTAGCTGCAGGAACTTGGTGGCATAGGGCATCAGGGTTTTAGTAGGAAGAAAGTATCCAGTTAGCAGATTCAGGACCAACCAGCCACGCAGCAAGCTCTCCCTGAGGAACAGAAAGGACTGTGGGCACCTTGGGATAAGACAATTCCTGCTCCTAGCAGCTCAAACTGAGCCTCTGCCCTTCTGAACACCTATGGCAGGTAGCTGAAAATGGGGTGGCAGCCCTTGGTCAGAGGTTTCTTATGCTGAGCAAGGGATTGATTCAGTCCTTCTAACAGCAAACAAAGGGAACAGTCAAGGCCACTCTGATACCACTGCTGCCATTTTACAGGGCAGTGTGGGGTCAAGCCAGTCCCTGACTGTTGTATCAATTCCCCAGGGCTGTGAGGAGGAAATCAGGGCTCTGAGCAGCACCACTACCAGGGATGTTTACCAGGGCCCAGATATATCAGCAGCCAGAAAAACAAGGACAAATGTCCACTGAAATGAAAATGTCAGACCCAGTGACTGGCTAAATTTCCTGAGTGCTCAGCAAAAGCCCCAGCATTGGAGCACTGGGGACAGCACAGCACCAGGGAACACCCTCTCCCCTGGCCCTGGTGTCCCTGAAGCAGATGGTTCCTCTCCAGCTGTGCATGCAGAGGAGCTGCCAGTTCTGGTACTCACTGGTTAGGGTTGTGGGTGACCTGTTTGATGACCTGGCAGTAGATCTCATCATGCAAATGCTCCTTCTCCTTGCATAGCTGCATTCAGAGAGGAGAAAACAGCATGAGAGAGGGGACAAGAGCATCAGAGAGGCCCCCAGGTCACCTCTGTGCCCTTCCTCTTCCAGTGCCAGAGCTCTACCCATTTGGCTTAAAGCTTGGGCTTTTCAGCCTCTGGTCCCCCATGCTATCTAGACCCAAAGAAGGAGAGAGGAGAGGGAGGTTGTGCTCTCATCCAGACAGTGATATCCAGGGAAACCATTTACATGCAGCCCCTCCCCTCCATGTGTTTTAATCAGTCTGTTTCAGCTCCCTTTCTCATGCAGGAGTTGCATTATGGCTCTCCCTGTTCTCTCCCTTCCCAACGAGGCCTTGGCCCTCTGTTCCTGTTGGTGCTTCAGCACTTTGCCCAAGGGAAGGTCACAAACCTTGAGGATTTCATAGATACATTCAACCTCAGTCTGGTCCTTGTGCTTGGGCTGATCTCCCATGAGCCGCATCAGCGCTGCAAGGCAAAGGCTGACATTTAGGTCTAAGCAGGGCTGGTCCTGCCATGGGGCTGGCAGAGGGCTAAAAACTGTCCTGAAAACTCTCCTGCTCCAAGGTTTGCATTGGACAGGTGTAGTCTGTCCACAGCCCAGGCAAGGGTGTGTTCTTGGGCACTTTGCACTCCAAGCAAAGTACATTTTGCTGGATGCTTTCAGCAAGGACACAGGTGGTTATTAACTGCAGAACTGCCTTAGGAGGGCCCCCCCCGACAGAAGTTTCATTCCCTACTCAGCCCCACAATGCCTGTGAGTGCCCACCACAGCATCCCACTCACACACCCCCCAGCCTCTGCAGTGTTGTGTCCTAGGGAGGTACTTACTCTGGAAGTTCTTTGTAGCCAGCTCATTCAGCTCACTGTCAGAGTACCAGAGCAAAGACATCTGGATTGGGACCTACAGGGCCAGAGTACAAGGATAAACTGGGGAGGTGGATCTCACAGAGCTGTGCTGCAGGTTTCACCAAAGACTCAAGCTCCCAGAATCTTGCAGGCAGCACTGAAAAGTAGGGGACACCTACACTTCTGCAGAGGCTGCAAGCCAAGGATCTGCCCTCTGTGCTTTTGCCATGTGGGGACAAAGCTAGAGGCAATGCTGGAGCTGGGATTCTGGCTGTATCCACGGGGAGAGACTGAGCTCACCTTGGTGTGCCGGACCAGGCCAGCTATACTCTTCTTTTCAGCAGACATCCCCTGCAGTCCCTGCCTAGACAGAGGAGAGGGAACATGCAGTCCAAGAAATACCCCCAGAAACAGCCTGGTGTGGGTCAGGCTACACAGGTCCTGTGTATGCCTGTTTGGGAAGGACCACAGCCTACTCACATGGACTGAGCCTCCCGGAAATAGGCTGTGGCGAAGTCAATCATGGTATAACGATCACCAGCAGGGACTAACATGGTGCTGTCGGGTTCTGATGTCAGGCTGGGAACAGAACTCTGCAGGGACATCACCAAAAAAGTCAGCTGAGGAATTGCAGTGTGTATTCTCACCTGCCAGACTCCATCTATGTGTGGTGCCTCCCCTCCCACTATGATAGTATTTGAGTGCCTCTGTCTCCAAGGATTAAACAATCATCATCTTCCCTCTGGCCTTGGAGGTCAGACCAGGGGTATGGACCCACCCTGGCAGCTCTCACAGAACCCAGCCATAACCCCTAGATGTTCCCCAAGGACAGCTCACCTCCCTGCTGGTGTTTCTGCTCTCTGGGGAAGATTTCCTTCTCTTCCATAGCTCTGCATGTCTGTCCATGTTGGTGCTGAGGTAATCAGGGGCTGCAGCCAACTGCACCAGGTCAGTGGGGAAGAGACCACAGCGGCCACCAGTGCAGCCAAACTGCCAGCCTGCAGAAACAGGGGCCAGAGAGTCAGGAACCATGGCAGCTGTCAAGAGGAATGGGCACTGAAGCTTTCTACTGGCAAAGGAGATCGTCAGACTCACCAGGGCTTCCTGCATCCTAAGGTAACACATATACCCCTAGAGCTAAGGCAGCTGGAACAAGGTGGGTTGCAGGCAGAGGCTCATTATGCCAGCCTGCCCTTGAGAGTCCATACTCTCTGGTTCTGGGCACTACGGATCCAGCAGGCCCTTGATCCTGCCAATCTCAGCCCCCTCACCTGGCTCCACGCCTTGCATGGGCAGCAGCTCAATGAGGTCGCCCCTCCTGAAGCTGAGGAGGCTCTTGTCATCCACGACGTAGCTGCGCAGAGCAACGACGTAGTTGGTGTCCTGGGGGAAAAGGATGGGGAGGTCAGGTCTTGTCCCAAGGATGGGAAGGACTCATGTCCTCCCTTGGATGCTCTCAGGTCCATGTGGGAAACCGCCTTCCTTCCCTACTGCACTACAGCTGCTCCCTCACCTGCCTCAGCTCCTGCATGAATTGTTCCACCATGGCCTTGATGCATGGAGCCTTCAGAGAGTGCAGGAGGAGCTGCTCTGTCTTCAGAGAGAACTCCAGGGCACTGCTGCCCTTCAGCTCCACTGACAGCACGTCTGCAAAGCTGAGAACACAAGTCAGTGTGCTCAGGCTCCTCCTGCCAGGGCCAGGGATGCAGAAAGTGGGGATGGGAGCTCATTCCAGGGACTGAGAATGGAGACATGCCTCAACATGTCCCAGTGGTTGCCTTTCACCAGCACTGTGTTCCAACATTAACAGCACCACAGGCTGCTCATGGCTTTCACCATAGCACCCTGAGGAGCTCCCTGTGATGACACACATGGAGCCGACTCACCCCCAGCACTCGTTTGTAAGCAAAGCACGAGGTAGGAAGGAAAAGGAAAAGCCAAACTCATTAGAAGGAGGGTCAGTGAGTCACAGCTGGCCTAGGACAGTCCTAGAGAGCACAGCACAACTTGGAATTTTCAGCTCAGCCATTCAGTTTGCCTCCCAACACCCTGCAAGTGCCAAACTATCACCCTGCAGCAACCAGCACCCTTCTGCTCACCAGTAGCTGCGAAGAATCTTGAGGTGCTCAGGATTATACATGGCTGCTTTCTCCACCTTCAGCAGCCGAATGCCCCGGTGAGAAACACCCAGGACCTGCACATCACTTCCCTCTTCACCCTGTAAGGGAAGTGCAGCAGAGAGAATCAAAGGCTGTGTCCCACCTGGACAGGTGGCAGCAGGGGAAGGAGGTGCCACACAAGGAGACCCTGGGCTGACAGAGGTGTCAAACCCTGCCAGGTATGGAAGGCGCAGAAGGAGGAGTGATGTGTGGCCAGGCAGGGAGACAGAAAGAGATCCCAGGTGAGCTGGAGCCACAGCTAAAGCAAGCCCAGGGTCTGGTGAGAAAATGAAGACTCACATGAACTGGGAAGAGGCGGGAGAAATAGTTGGCCCAGTTATCCCGAGCAGCCAGTACAATCCTCTTCTTTATTCCATCCTCCTTGATGGACTGGACGTCATTTCCAACCCGGAACTCCGCTAGCAGGGTTACAAAGCAGATATTTGATCAGCATGGCAAAGATGGCTGAGACTCCCTCTGCCAGGGACTCATTCCCACCAGCCCCCCTCAGTGTTCACAGCACAGAAAACGACATTCAGAGGTGTGAGGACACCACATTACTTGCACACACCAGTCTACTGCTGGTTTCCCTCCCCTTCTTCATGAAGCTGCAGTCAAAGATGACAGTCGGATTTTGAGACAACTCAAAATCTCATCCTTGGGTTTCACTTTCCTCTCCCCACAAAAAACCATTTCAGAACTAAGTTTTCTCTGGCTCAGAGAAATGTCGGGGCCATTTTCTGGCCATTTGGAATAAAGAAACATTCCTACACTTCACTGCACAGCACACAAAAACGTGCTTTCCTGCTGCAGTGACAAATATTACTCCTCTGTCTGAAAGGGCTTGGAGGCCAGTTTCTCATTTCAAACCAAAAGCTGGGATGGGCACAGGGAGAAGGGATGATGGGGCTGTTAATTACTCAGCAGGTCTTTCATCTTGCGCTTCTCCTCCTTGGAGATCCGAAAGCAGGAGTTGGAGAAAGTGTCACGGATGATCTGCAGAGGAAGGGAACAGAGAGGCTTCCATTGCAAAGGCCACATCTGACTGTGCTGGAGCATCTGAGGCTGTTAAACAGACTGAGACTCGGAGAGGAGTGAACAGGGGCTTGACTGGATGGACCTGGAGAAGAGACTAACACTGCTTGGGATGAAGAAGTGAAGGCAACTTATGCAACATAATTAGGGAATGTTTTGCTCCCAGAGAGACAACAGACCTTGAGCCAAACCTGTTCACACAGGTGCATACCTGTTCACACAGCAAGTTCAGGCAATAAGGGTGGCTGAAATTTTCTTTGGGGTAAAACACCTGCAAGAGGAGGATAAAAACAACAGTGGTGTTACAGATGCTGCAGAAATAGCTCCCTAGGGATGTTTTGAAATCCATATGCACTGCTGCCAGAGAGAGGCGAGGACAGGCAAGGGAAGAGACACTGTGAATGTGAAAAGAAGGACCAGGAGCAGAGGACCAAAACCTGAGTGGGGAGACCAAGGGATGAACCCTGGTCAGTTCAGTGCATTCTTCAATACACATTTGTACTATTTTAACAGGAAAACAACAGGTAACAACAAAGTTTAGTTTTGGATTTCTCAGTGCTTTAGAGAGGAGGAAAGGACAGGTAGGGAAACTGAGACACAAGTGTCAGTAAGGCAGGGCAGGACCCAGATCCCCCATGACATGATCCCCTGCCCCCATCTCCTGTGTCTGTGACCTCCTCACAGAACTATCTCTGTGCTCTTATCTTACACTGGGTGCCTACCAAAAACATATTCTAACCAAAGGTGTGACAAGTTCCCTCCCACCACAGCCAGCCCTTGGCTGTTGAACTGCACCTCTTTGCGCAGGAAGATTTTCCAGGCAGGGTCTGCATAGGAGAAGCTGACGCTGGTGGTGAGCTTGTACAGCTGGGTCTTGATGCCATCATCATCTGCTACTGTTACAGCAGAGTCTGTGTGAGGAGAAAGAGCAGTGAAAATGGGCCTTGAGGGTTGCAGGGTAACCTTCCCACCTGCCAAAGACCTGCAGGGGGAAAGGGGACAGTGCCTGGTGCCTGATTGAATATTACTGTCAGGAACCCTCCTGAAGGTCAGTGACCAGCTGGTGTGAGCACAGACTAGTCATTTTGAGCATTTCTGATAACATTTACACTTCCTGTATTAGCCACAAAGTTCACTGTTCATAACATAAGCACTCCAGGGGCACTCAGCTTCCCAGGAAAAACCGTACCCCTGTGCTTGAGGTTGAAGGCACAGGTTTCACTTTATGTTACTATAAAAAAGCTGCTGAAGGTTTCAAAGGGACATAAAAGTTCTGCCCTGAGCTTGCAGGCTGCAAGGTTCTGGTACAGGGTTGTCTCTCTGCAGATCTATCGAAGACAGGCTCAGTCTGAAGGCAACAGTTCAAAGCTGTTGCTTTGTGAGGTAGGAATGTCTTCATTTAAGCACTTCAAACTTTCAAAACTTCAGAGCTCTTAGAGAAGAAGTGTAGTAAATTCCCTAGTTCAACTGTTTCTATGTTCCTATGCAAAAGCATGTAGGGATTTTTCAGGCTAATCCAGTTACTTCGATTTACTTTCACAGGACTTGCTGAAGAAACGTTCTTTTAAAGAGAGGGGGAGCAAAAAGGGAAATTCTTTAATACTAGAGAAACTGCTGCAGGATGGAGTACTTCAGTGATGTGTTTGGCTGACTGCTCCTTGCATGTTATAAAAAGGAATGTTGATGAGAGTTTTAAACAGCTTGAAATACATTGGTACAGGTATCCAAAGTATAAAATGAATTGTGGCTCCAGGCCCCCACTGAAATTCAGAGACAAAACTAAGACTGAATAACACTTCAAAACTCCTGCTGGGAAGCATTAGCTGTGCTTTTCTTAAGAGGGCAACATCCAAATACTCTTCATGTGGCCAAGTCCAAGGTCTCTCAGGCTCATTCTCCCTCTGAGAAACATTCCTCATTCCTCAGCCTCTCTAAGGTCCCTCCAGAGGCTTTGTCAGATGACACACCTGGCTTCCCATTCCTCCCTGGGCTGAAGTCCACCTGTCAATTGCTACTTTGATAAAGTAGTTATGCTTCAGGTAGGCAATAAAAAGTATTGTGGACTGGACCGTGATAAAGCCCAAAGGATCTTTCTATTTTTAGCTGTGTTTTTCAGAAGGGAAGAGTTAGAGCAGGGAAGTGCCAAGCTGATTCTTGGGCCAGACTAGAACTGTGACATCTCTCTGATTCCACACAGATCTGATTGCACAGTCTCCCTGGATTCACACAGCTGACTGATGACAGAACATGTGCCAAGACTCTCCAGGGCCACTGGGTTGATTCCAAACCCATCCCCTCTCTGCTCCACTACCCAATCCCACATGGATGAAGTCAATACTCACCCCTCTCTGTGGATTCCTGCCTGCCTTGGTCCTCAGGCTTTAGAGGTGAAGGCAGTGGTGGGAGAGGAGGGGGAGCAAGAGGGCCTGCAGACGCTGGTGGGGTAGAATCTGGCCTGAAGATGGAGAGGAGAGGCAACTGCTTCTCCTTGATAGAGCTGGAAGCTGAGCCTGGCTTGGGCTTGATAGGTGGAGGTACTTTCTTCTCTTGTGGCACAGGAGATGGCTGCAAGACAGCAAAACCATTTGACCCAGTCTGTTTCTGCATTCCTCTGCTCTGTCCTGACACTGCTGTTATAAATCACCCCTAGGGCAGCACACCATCCCTGGAAGCAAGATCTATGTGAACAGGGACATCAGGACCTTTAAATCAACACACAGTCTACAAAGAGATGAAGACCAGCCAAACCCAGAGAACCAAGTATTTGAGATTGAAGCCTCCAGTTCCCTTCCCCATGAAGGGGAAAAAGGACGTTAACGGGCCAAGGCCTTGGTGTCAAATGTGGAGAACATGAATTGCTTCCTTCCAGATCAGCCTTAAACATAGTCCACAATAGGACTTGCTGCTCCTGAGCCTTTTCTTCAGGATCTCAGATGGTTCTTCAGGAACCCAGTTTAGGATAGGCAGCACCACGATATGAGCTCCCAGCTATCTGTTAACCCAACAAGAAATCAGCTGGCTGTGACTGCGTGACCAGGGAGCTCACAGCCTGTTGGAGCTTGGATACAGAGGCTCTCTCTGCTGAACTCTTAAGGTGACCAGAAAGCAAAGAACTCACTGATCGGCAAGATGAGGAGTTCATCATTCCCAGCTTGGCCAGAGCCTCATTTTTGGGGTCATTCCTCCTTACAAACGGCTTGTTTACTCTCCTGTGAGGAAACGGGGAACAGTGTTACAGAGGCTGCAGAGGGGTTGTGGCCATGATGGAGCACATGGCAGTGCTGAGACACAGTCCCACTCATCCCCTGCCAGCCCACGTGGTGGGTCCCTCTCACCTTACGGGCTCGATGGGCTGGGGCTCAGGGGCTGGTCGGCTCTGGTACATTTTGATGATGTTGCCGATCTCGCGGCTCGGTGCAGGACGTGACTCGGGGCCTGAGGGTTTCACTACAGGTGGCTCCTTCTTCACTTTTGGTGTCTGCTTTATTGGCTTTGGCTCAGGAGATGGCACAGGGGAAGCAGGAGCTATTGGGGTGACAGCTTTAACCAACAGACCAGCAAAGGCACAGGAGAAATCCCTTTGACTCATTTGAAGTTCCCTCTCTTTCACCCCAAGGCTGACTAGCCATGGCCTTCCACTGCCTTGCTTTGGGATCCCACTTCCCAAAGCTCAGAAATTCCTCTCTCTCCTGTTCTGCCAAGATACAGACTCCCAGAAAAGCCAGATCCTTTCCTCTGCCTATATCCTGGCCTGATGTTCCTGGAAAGTTCCTGCTTGTCAGCCTGCCTGAGTCTCCACTGCACAGCATCTTACCTGCCTCTGGTCTGGGGACAGGCTTCACTTCTTTCCTCTGCTGTTCCTGTTTTTTCTCCTCCTCCTGCTCTGGCTGGGGATTTGCTGGTGGAGTCCAGGTTTTGGTAGGAGGCCTGACTTTCTTCACTCGGATGTGTTGCTCTCCTGCATAGGAAGGGGAACTTGAACTACTTAATACCACACTCAAAATCTAGCACTGATGGCACAGTTCCCACTCTTGCCTCAGTCAGCACAAACCTATGTTTCTAGAGGTGAAGGAGAGTGTGGCAGTCAAAAGCCCAAAGATTTCCAGCAAACTGTCCCCACAACACCCCACAATGTAGCCAGCTGAACAAGCACCCAAAACTCCTGTTAAACACAGTGCCAGCAGCTCTTGCTGGGCATGGCTGGTTCCAGACAGGGAGCCAAGAACACCTTGTTGTGCCAGGGAGGCTGCAGAGCAAGGTGTTATCATGAGTGAAATTCCCAAAGTGATAGATGCTCACCCATCTTCTGAAAATATTGTCTCTTCTGCTGGAAGGTTTCCCGAGGAGAGTCATCATCTCCACTGCTGGAGAACTCATCTCCCGTGTAGTCATAACCCTGCAGGCAGTGCACAACATGGTTAGTTGGCACTAACCAGCAGGAAGGAACCTCCACAGTGCCCTTCAGTTCAGAGGTGATCCTCTCTCCAAATTCTGACCTAGAACTCCCCATCTGGGAGTGTCCCAAGAAATTAGTTTTTTACACAAGCAATCATCAACCAAACCTGGAGAAGAGGGATTATGTTAGAGGACCAAAGCAGCTTGTTGGAAGATAAAGATCTCAGAGTAATTAATTTTCCTATGGAAAAACTCTGCCCAGCTGGAAATTAATTTTACAGCACTGCAGCCCAACCTCCACAGAGCAAATGCCACCAAGGTTTGACCCTGTGCCTTAAAGACTCAGCAAGCAGAGTTTGAAAGGCCTCAGAATCATTGGTAAGCACAGCTCTCTGCTCTCCTCTCTGCCAAACCATGGCCACGATGGGAGGGAAGCAAAGCAAACACCAAACAAGAAATTCGAACCAACTTCACCACCACTGTTTGTTTCTCATGCCTTAGCTGGTGGTTCTGAAGACTCTGGTGGTGTTGCAGCATCCTGGCTTGTGGGAGGCTTCTTGGGTTTGGGGGCAGTGGCTGGGGCTTGGGCTTGTGGTGGACTTGAGACTCTCGGCCTTGACTTCTCAAGAGACTTTTGCAGCTGCTGCTGCTGTTGCTGGGAAATACTTATGGCCTGAAGGGTCATCTGCTGGGCCTGGAGGAAGGAATTGCAATGTCCATGAGCTCCAGGCTGCACAAAACCACCACCCATCAGTCAGACTGCCCCATTCTTTCACTTGGTAACCACAGAACATTTACATAGTCCATTGCAAACTTCCCATGTAATGGACAGGGAGTCTGCTCCCACCTAGCCAGGGATGCACAGCTCCTGACACCACCCCAAGATTCAGCTACCAGATAACCTGGGACCATCAGGCACTTAAGAACTTTGGACAGAAAGCAGAACACTGCAGATCTGCATCTGTAGTAAATCCCATGGGAATTACCCCTGAATCTTCTCAGGGCCTGCTCTTGTCCCTGTGACTCACTCACCAATGGTGCCTCAGTGGCCCCATGTAAACAAAGGGGCAAAAAGGGAGTTCCCAGTTTTGCAGCCTTAGGTAATCCCAGGTTTCCAGAGCTCACCCCAGCACACAGGCACAAAGTGTCACAGGGCAGGCCTGAGGCAGGAGGGGAGCAGGGCTCCCCCTCCATGGCACATACACCAGTGTGTTGTCCTCCCCCAGCTCCTGGGCCCCTCCCAGCCATTCCCTCCCACTCACCATGAGCATGGCTTGCTGGTTGATAAAGGCTTGCTGCTGTGCTGCCAGCTGGTTGGGATCCACACCTGGAAGCATGGGCTGGGGCATAACCATGGCTGTGGAAGACACACACACACACATCTGCAAGAGCCCAAAGGGGATTGTTCCCCACAGTGTTTGAGCATCAGCCAGGAGGAGAGTGTTCACTGAGCCTCCCACCAGACACTGAAATGCACAGGCCCCACTGACATCCCCTTTCCATCTCTTCCCTCTGTAGCTACACTGCTATTACCTGGCATAGGTGTGATCCCACCAGCCCCTTGCATCATGGGCATGGCTGCTGGCACCCCCATCATGGAAGGCATGGGCTGGTAAACTGGTGCTTGAGCCATTCCAGGGAAGCCTAGAGACAAAAGACCATGTGCACAGAGCTTTTGGGGAATCAGGCCCTGAGCAATCCCACAGAACACAGTCACCTCTGGGGCTCTCCACATGCACCAGCCACAGCAGGACACACCAAAACTTAGGTGGGGAAAGAAAACCTAAGAACAATGTGTGGCCTGACAGACTTTAAACAGCAGTATCCAGACCCTGCTTTTGTAGCCTGGCTTAGGACACCACCATCCTTCATGATGAAATATATGAGTAACTCCTGCCTGTGTATAATTACAGAGGAGGGTTTTTATTGAGGGATGAGCAAAGATCTCTGGGACTGGGGCTGTCACATCCATATTGGTCTCTTTGCAGCAAGTAGCAAGGGCAGGTGAACAACAAGCCATGGCCTGGATGACTTTGTGTGAAGGAGCTGTGGGGAGAAAGGAACTCCTCTCAGCAGGCAAGTCCCATATGGGGCCACAAAACAAATCCCACTGAGGGAAAAGGCAGCAGAGCAAGGGGCAGCCAGGAGGGAGTCAGCACACAGCACAGGTCTGCTGAATTATGTCCTCACCAGTGAGAATGGCCCTGGGATGCCATGGGAAGATCATCACATCCCTCACTCATCTAAGTAGCCACACAAATGGCAAACTGACCTTAGGCCAGTGATCTGTAATAGTCCTTGTCATGCCCCAGAGCCTCTTCAATAGCCAAAACCAGTCCCAGTTTCAGTAATGACTGAACTGGATGTTCTCCACCTGTCTGAAACTGCTGGGTGTGTTCCTACCCATGCAGATTTCTCAGTGCCATTAATATACTGGTGTTTGACTCCACCCTGCTGAAAATGCCTGAGTCTTAGCTCCACAGAAATGAGGAAAAGTAAAGAAACCAAACACACAAATCAGAACCTCTGCAGGGTTCAGACTTACTAACCCAAGGAATAGCTACAGACGATGGGAAATTCTGTAAGGAAGCAATAAGAAACATTAAAGCTCTCCCCTTACAAAGGCACCAACTGTTTTGTGAAAGCACAAGGTGAATAGAAGGTGAATACACGACTCACAAGCGTTTGCCTGGGGAAGAGGTGGCCTGGGTCAGAAACAAGCTACCTGCTACCTTGACCCCCAGACCAACTTGAGAGAGAAATTAAAAGCAGAACAAAGGTGGTTCCCTTGCCTAACACCTTCCCCAAAGCATCTGGCTCCCAGCACCTGCAAGTGAGGAGTACAACTTCTGATGACCTGTACTCCAGACTAGTGCTCTTTATGAACCAGCTGGGTTCATGCAATAATTAGCATTTAAGGGGCTCTCTGACTTGTCCTCACTGAGGCTCCTGTAGCCCCACAGGTGTTCCCAGCTGTCCCCATCCCCTTACAGACCTGTAGAAGGAAAGACTCCTCTCCTTGTGGGTCCAATCTTCCCACCTCCTTTCATGCGTCCGGTGAGACTGTCCCTGTTCTCCAAATCCTGCATCAAGGAACAACAGAGTTACCTGAGCTCAAGAGAGGGAGAGACATCCAGAGGCAAGTCTGAGCTGAGCAGAGGAAGTGAACAGGCAGAGAAATGCTTGAGGGAGTCACAGGGACAGGAGAGCTGCAGAGGGAAAGTGGGAATGGACATCAGGGGACTTACTGATGGTCTGGAGCCCTGATGCAGCACAGGGCTGAAGAGATCATCCACATAGTGATCCAGGCCTACGGGGCTCCTCAGGTCATCTCTAGTCCTTGGATCTAGGAGCAGAGAGCAGTCTGGTGAACAAGGCAGGTAAGGAACATTCCCCTGCCTCCAGTCCCTGTTAGACAGTCACGTTTTGGAGAGTAGCCCTTCCCTGCTCTACATCAACAAGAATCACCTGACTCCCCCTCTGCTTTGATTCCCTTGCTGGGGCCCACCTGGCCCTTCCCAGAGTCATCCACAGTCCTGGGCTGAATGTTACCTGGATGGAAATCCATGAATTCTGGAGGCAGGCTAGGGGGTGGGAAGGAAGGGGCCTGGATGCCTGGGGCAGGAGGGATCCTGTTGAAGAGGAAAATGACATGAGGACCAGAAAGATGAACCACTGGGTGACAGGGCCACAAGTGGTGGGGCAGGAAGAAGAGGTGACTTACGAATCCAGGTCAGAGAACTGGTAGGTGCTCCTGTCCCTTTCTGCAGTGATGGGGAACTCAGCTGGGGACTGGGAAGCGCTGCTGAAGTTGCTGGTCTCCTCCATCTCTCCAATGAGGTCCAGCACAAAGTCACAGCCCAGCAGGTCCTGCCATGTGTTGCCAGTTAACATGGAGACAGACCACCCTCGAGTCTTCTTATCACAGCCCCTGGTAAGAGGGAAAGGAAGGAGAGGAAAGATGTCCAGGTAGGCACAGGAAAGGGAGAAGAAGGAAAAGATTGCATTCAGTTCCTTCTTGCTTTGTCTATTCTGGCTTGAGTCCTTTAGATTTATGGTGTGAATCAACTACTAAGTGCCCAGGGTCAGGAAAAAAACCCACAACTAGAATAATTCAAGATTTGTTCTCTTTTGGTTGTTGGTGTATTTTTTTTTTCGTTTTTTAAAGAAGCTGCTCTAAGAGATCACAACAGTGATTCCTCTGTTCCTAAAGAAGCCCACAGTGTATGCACACAGATGGAGGGTGAAGGAGAGAGCACGAAGGAGTGGGTAAGGAGTGACTATTCCACATAAATGCCAGCCTGCAGTCCCAACCAGTCTGAACCTTAGAACTAGTGACAGCCTCTTTCACACCCCCAGACCTTCCCCCATCCTCTGGCAGTACCTTGCATTTAGGATCCAGGCTGCAAACTGCTCCCCAGTCATCCAGGACTCCACCTCAGCTGAGAACACCTCCTCTGGCACAGAGAAGAGAGTCAGTCCCTGCAGCCTCCCTGACGGGACCCAAAGCAACCCCTGCACTCCACGGGGGCAGAGCCCAGCTGGAAAGTCTCACACACTCCTGAGCAAGGGCTGCATAAGGCAATATTTGAGAAGGGAGAAAGGCAGAAAGTCCCTGCAATAAATTGCTGCTGCTGGGCTGTGCTGTAATGGGGAACAGGAAAACCAAACCCATAGAGATGCACAACCAGAACAGCCCTCTGTGAGATGGGCCCAAACCCAGGAGAATCTCATCCCTCAGCCTCAGTAGAAGGTCCCATCAGGCCCAGACTTCACAAGCTTTGGGTCTAGATTCAGATGCTTTTATCCCCCATGGTTGCACCAGCCAGTAGCAATCAGCATTCTGATCCCTCTTTACTAAGTTGAGGGAAGTATTTTCCAAATGCTGATTTCTGCACTGGAAACGTCCTTAGGGACTGGAAGACAGCAGGAGGGCAGAAGCATGAGTTACCATTAAAGGTGTGAACATCCAACACTATCTTCCCTCTCCTCTGGTTTGCTGTCCACTCCAGCCGAGTGGGAGGGTAGGCCCGAGAGGGTGCAGAGCCTGTCTCTGTGTGATGTGCTGCTGTCAGGATCTTGCGCTGGCAGACAGCATTGTAGCCCTCCATGCCATGGTCTGACACAAATCTAGGGAAAGGCAACTGCATTTAGCACTCTGCTCATCCCTTTAACCGTAGTGCAGGCGTGGATTGCTCTTTTCTCCCCCTTACTTCAGCAAGGGCTTCTCCAGAGCTGGTGAAGGCACAAAGCAGCTCAGCACAGTCGCCATCAGGACCCAGGCTCGCTGGCTGTGCTCCACGTCTGGGTTCTTCCATGCCTGGGCAACCACCTGGCTGAGGATTTCGTCGCGCAGAGCCACGTTACTCAAACCTCTGCCAGCAATGTAGTTGCCCAGGAGCACCTCCTGCCAGCCATGGAGGCTCTTGTCACCAATGAACCGCAAAATCTAGAGGCATCCGGGGGGAAAAAAGAGAGAGCTCAGGCTGTAATCTAACCCTCTGTCCCAAACTGTGTTGTAAGGTGACAGCCTGGATTGTGGACATCACGGTGCTGGTGAGCCTAAGAGTAGGCAAAACTCAGATCAGGGTCTGTTCTCATGTTTTTGTGCACCACCCAAGTGCTGGGGAATTTGGGAGGCAACGTTTGTAGAGACTGAACTCTGACTTTTAGTCAGGGTGACTTCAAGTCTCTTCTTATTTATGACTCAGAATTTGGTCTTGGGCAAAATACTTCCCCTTCTTTGGGCAGGGCTTAGATACACACCTGGATTACCACAGGACATTTGTTACTGAGCCCACTGACTGCTGAAAAGACTTTGGTGTAGTTAATATTATACCAACTAGTATGAGAGGTGGTGTCTCAACAAAATCATTGAAGCAATGATTCAGCTTCTTGGCTATGCATATCAATATCTTCAATACATATCAATATCTCCAATGCTTTTGTATTTTCCATTTCTCACCCTTAGGTGCAGAATAATTTCTTTCATCCTCTACACTTCAATATATCATTAATTAAAATATTTCTAAAATATTTTGGAAAGAACATTTAAGAGTGACAACACTTCTAGAAACAGTTAATGGTACTAAGGGTGTCAGAGATTCAATGAGAAAAACAGGGGATGGTGGTTGTTTAGTTCTCATGGAAATCTTTGTAGTAAATCCCTACTTTATTAGCAATGGAGAAAAATTGCCTTTGATCTCCAGGAAAAATAATAGTATTCTGCTTAAACACAATCCTATTCACAAGATTTTATTGAAGCTTATGCTCTTCTATAATTGGGATCATGAGGACAAAACAAGAGACTGGGTTTAGGTATTAACTTTCTTAATGGGCTTATTTTAATTCTATGTAATCCTCAAAAGGATTACCAGATTTACTTAGAAATTATCTGGAGTTTCATTCTATTTTCAAATATTTCAACTGTTAAGAAAAACGTAAAGAAAGATCTGTTTCACGTCCACAGAGTTGCAATAACACCATCCCCTTCATGCAAACACTACAGCTGGGGTGTGGTTCCAGTTTTCCTGATGACAAAGTCCTGCCCTTTTCCAACCTTTATATGACACTTCACTGTCTCTGTTGAGTGACACAACCGCGAGCCTGAGATGCAATTGATATATTTACTATAAACCACATCATGGAAAAGATGTGGGTTAAATCAGATTTTTTATGAGTGACAGATGAGTAAACGGTTGAGGAGACAGACCTCTCTTACACTGTCATTGCTACTGAATCTGGAATAGCAGGAAACTAAGGCTTAGCAGTCTGATTCCTGTATGTCCTGCCGAATTCTGAGGCAGGCAATTCACTCTGATCCCAGTGGTCTGTGGTTGGTCTGTGCCTCACCAAGAACACAGCAACCCTAAGGGGCTGCATGTGATCTCTGCCAGGCTGCTGCAGGGCCTAGGAGGAGAAATTTGTTCTGTTTTTCCAGCCTTGTATCATAAGAACAGTATCCACCATCGGCAACTTGTTGTATAAAGGCACCACAATATTGTCAGTGCCCACCTGTTCTTCAGCAAGGTCAAGAACGATGTCTCTTACCAGTTTGTTGATCTCAAGTGCACTCTCGTGGTGTTCGGTGCCCAGCTGGGTTAAGGGGTGATGCAGAGGCTGACCAAGGGCAGGGAAATCTGGCTTCTACAAAGAAACAACAGGATGGAAACAGAGTTTGCTCCTGGTGCTGCTAGAACTAGTGTGTCTGCCCAGTGGGGAAGCAATGATGAGGCAGAAAAGGAGTTCCCACCTGGAAGTGTGACTTAACAAAGGAGGAGAAGGGATAGCTGTTGATGCTGGGTGGGAGGGAAAGGTCATCTTTGACCTTGATTTCTGGAGGCAATGCCTCTGTTATCTGGTTGGTCTGTGCTTGGTGTCGACCTGCAAGAGAAGGAGGTTTGGTGTTGTGGCAGGTGGGAGACAGAACACACAGAGCTCACTCAGCCACACGTGGCATCTCACCCTGCCTCTGTGCCAGCCCCGGGCTCCAGGGACACCCAGCTCACTCCTGCTGCCTCAGACCCCCAAGCAGGCACAGCCTCACACCTTTGAGACCACAGGGCCTCACTTCAGGAGAGAGATTTTACAGCTCTGATCTTTAACACCGAGAGGCCAGGGAGCACATGGAGATTCAATTCTGCTCTGCAGCATTTACAAGGCAGGAAACACTGAGCTCATGATGAGATCCTGCTGTTAACTGTTCAGTCAACAAGTAAATGAGAGATCTTCAGGTTGAGGGAGTTATCATGGGTAAGAGAGGAGCAAACATCTTCCTAAGTGAAGGGATTTCTCAGTGCAGCACAACTCCTGTGCATTCCTCTGTTTCCAAACAAACGTGTCCCTGGATGCTCTCCTCAGCCTCCCTGTTTACATCCCAGCAGCTTTCATTTCCAGCAGTTTCAGTGTTCCCTGAGCTCCTCTGGCTTACATTGCTCACCAGACCAGCTGATAGTCCCTAGAGGGCTGTGCCATGAAGTGTGAGTTATTGGGGAATCCAGCACGGTCTGCTCCAGCTCACAACTCTTCTGCCTGATTGTATCCCTTCCTGTACCTCACAGAGGGCCAGAGGCACCACTGGCATTTCTTTTGACACTACATCGACACAAAGAGGTAAATCCTGCCTCAATCTATTTGCAATTTCAATATTCACATTGCACAAAGAGCTACAGAGGAAACACAACTGCAAATAACTTAATGCTCAATGTCAGGTGAACAATTTGGGAAATTTTTTTCTGCAAGAAGCATTTTGGTGATTTGAAAACAGAACAAAAAAACTTTCCGAACCAAACAAAACGGAGATCATTGAGTTGATACTTTATATCACCCTTAAGTTAAAAATTATCATGTACTCAACTTGTTACATTGTCACATATTTAGGTTGATGCACTGTTACATCCCAACTCGTCACATTGTTGCATCACTAAGTTGTTATGCTGTTTCCCCTTCCTTCTATTTTAAAAGAAGTAACTACTTTTGAGGAAATATTTTTAATTAGGCCCCAAAATATTTGCTTGAAATTGCCAAAATCGTGGTTTTGTCTTCTTCACCTTCCCTAAATATTATTGAGTAGATAAAAGATGGGTTTAAGTTCTCCCACCCCAGATATTCAGCTCTGCCAGAGGCTCGAGTTCATTGAGCAATTTGCTGTCATGTAACTTTGACCAGAGTTCTGCACCATCGTGTCATCAGTTCTATCAGCCCAACTCATAAGAGCTGAAAAATGAACAAATATACTGATTTTTAATCTGGTGTTCTGCCCCCTGGCCCAAGTTACTTTCCCACTCTGTCATGTTGGGAAACAATATTCACAGTGCCATTTGCCTTTATCATATTTACACTGCAGTGATCATAAATCAAATCCAACCTGGGTGACAGGCAGCAGGTAGAACAAACAAACACACGCTGACACTGCTATAAACGAGGAAACACACAGTGAAGTGAAACAGTTCAGGGAAGGGAGGGAAGGAGGGGGGATTTCTCACCTTCAACGAACTGCAGGAGGGCTGCAAGCTCTGCAGGGATCTCCAGCAGCCCCACGTCCTGCAAGAGAGAGGCAAGTCAGTCATTGGGCTGCCAGCAAAGGAACCACAGAGAAACCCTGAACTGGGACTGGGTGAAGCTGCCTGGGCTGAGCATCTGAGCCAAACCAGCAATTTCTGCAACATTCACAACTGGGGAAGTATCACAGTAACACAGGTGTGTCGTGGGCTGTCAAAGAAGGGAAAGAGCAACTCCTAAATTTAAAAAAAAAAAAAAAATCAACTTCCACGAGGGGAATGACAGTAAAGTTGACTTTCTCTGACTCATCTCTCATTACTAACAAATCTGGCATCTTGCACAGAAGAGGCTGCAGCTGAAGGGTAAGGGCTGTTTCCTGCTGTGCCTTTTTCTGGCATTTTTAGTTCTATTTTTCAAAATACAAAAGTGGTACAGCATAAATAAAGAGAGACCTGATTCTGATTTTTTTTATGCACGACACTATTTTGGAGTTTCCAAAGGAAACTCAGACCTGTACCTGGGTAATTCAGATGAGAATCTGGCAAATAAGCCTTGGGGTTTCACTGGTTTGCACCTTGCATGGTGGTTGCATTGGTAGGAATAAATGAGCCAATGCAGCTCAGTGTATCAGCATCACTGTCTGCACATCATGTCAGTTCAGGGCATTTCAGGCAGAATTACTCAGATTAAGGCACAATGAAACCAAGCCAAAGACACAAAGCATGAGCTTTGGAGGGGTTTTGTGGGTTTTTTTGAAGATCTGCATAATAAAGTCTCTTGTCACCATCACACTATTCTGACATCTCTCTCCTCATAATCTCTCAGTGATGCTTAAAGACACATTCACAGCTTTTTTTGATCAGTTTGATTTTGCTCATAAGAAGATACTTGACTTTAAGTCTTGTTTTTCAGTGGTGTATTCAGGAAGTGGACTGTGAAATTCCACAGTCCTGGATCCACACCTGAGGAAGCAGGTGATATTACAAGAGCACCCAGTGCTAAGTATTCCTGTTGTTACTGACAAATCTGTCCAAAATTGTGGATGATGTCAGTTCAGATTCTCTCATTACACACCTCACAGCAAATGTGTGCCTGGTCTAAACATACAAATAATGACATTAGTTCGCAGTGTAAATACAGGCTAATCTTCTTATGAAGCCTTTAATACATCCCTTCCTCTACAACATCTTCTGTAAATACATTTATGCAAAACAGTCTCATTCCCGCCTTTCAGAATAGAACATGATCATCAAAAATAATCTTCCTCCCAGCTCCAAAGAAGAGGTCCAGCGCTCTGAACAAAGACAGTGCTCTGCCTCAGGACCACTTCATGATGCCCTGGCGATGCCCAGGGTCTGGGAATCACTGAACTAATGAGATATTTGTGTGTTAGAAGGCTCTTTATACCAGTCTAACCTACATTCTTGCTGCAAGGTTTCCAGCACACATGTGTACACCCTCCAGACATGCAGCAGACCTAGGCTGAGGAGGCACAAGGAAGGCAGAACACCTGGATAACCTGGCTTGTTATCTCAGAGTCTCCCAGACCCTTTGACAACTTACCATTCCTTGGTTGGGACTGTTCTCTGTGTCACCACTGGCCAGGGATCTCTGTCTTCGTTTCCTTTCCTCTAACTCCTGCTGTTAGGAGAGGAAAAGGGGATGGGGGGTGGGAAAAGATGTGTGTGAAGTCACTTTCAGCTACTTCTGAGGGCAAAGGCTGTGGGTGGAAAGGAGGTGGTGCCCTGCTCCAGCAGATAAAATGACAGAACAGCTACAGAGCCTTCCTGGGACCCCAAGCAGGCAAAGCCCTGAGTTTTGCTGAAACACCACCTGCCCTGCACAACACAGTCCAACAGCAAGAGCCTCCACCACCTGCCCAGCATCCTGCCACACCTTCCCTCCCTTGCCAGGCATTTGGTGTGTCCCAGGACAAAAGCACACAGGAGCTGTCAGAAACATTCACCTGCCTCCTCCAGCGTCAGGGAACACAATAGCACAGCCTGAACACGGGCAGATGGACTTATCCATGGAGAGGAAACCCTTCAGAAGAGGCAGGAGGGATACCAAAAGCCAAACTCCCTTCCAGCTCTGCCCTTTCCCATCCATTCTATTGTTCTCCAGCTTCATCACTCACCTGACTCCTGCTCCAAGATGGAAAAGGAGGGTCTCTGTTTCTGCCTCTCTCTCTCTCTCTCCTGCTTGTCAGTGTTGCAGATCAGTGTGAGTGGATGGGAGGTTATGAGGGTTGGGCTGAGAAAGACAGTGACATGCTAAAGTCCAAAGGGCAGGGCTGAGGGGTGGGGGGAAAGGAGGAACTTTGCAGCAGGTGAACTTTGAGACCTTTGTTGTTGCTCCTGTGTGTACAGAGACCTCGGCAAGCAAACACTGAAGTAACAGAAATGCATTCAAAGGAGCTGTGCTGTTGTGGTTACCTGGGAGAAAGAAGCCTGGGTCCTGTCCAAGTAGGAGGGCAGAAAACGGAATAGAAACTCACACTGTTCTGGGAATGGCATGGCAGAAGGCACCTGTGCAGGCTCCCATGACTGTCCTCTCTACCCTCTTCCCCATCCTTTGTTAGCCATGCCAGCAGTGCTGGTAGTTATGGGGATAGTGATGGGGATGTTAGTGGCTACTCTAAGCACAAATGGTCTGATTTCGTGATTTTTATTTTCCTTTTAATAACTTGTGCTGCAAAATACATTCTACACATTTGACACACCATGGCTCTCTCCTGCACACAACTTTCCATCTTCTCAATAAGCTGCCATCCTGTTCTCACCCCATCTGATTTCCAAAAGGCTAAGGGCTTGAGCAGTCTGAGGTAGCTGTTCAGGGATCATGGGAGGATCATTGTGGACTGAAAAAATCTTGCATTTCAGTCACCATCTGGGAAAATACCAGAAATTGAACTGGGCAACTGAAAGAGCAAGGTGAGTGACTCCTCATAGCTTGAGCAGAACAGCAGCCCTGAAGACCTCAGATGGAATCAGCTGTAGTCTGGTGTAGGGCAGCCCAGAGAAGGTCACAGACACACAACTAGGCTGTGTTTGTACTAACTTTGCCAGTTCTGAATGCTGTCTAGGAAGAGAAGGCTCCCGTCTCTGTGTGTCCTTCATTTGACTACATTCGTGTCAGTCAGAGAGTGAAGGACATCTCACTGGATTGTTTCCAATAAACTTCCTAAAGTCACCCCTGCCCTGGCCTCTCTGTTTAGTCACCAGCTCTCTCTGCTTAGTGCAGAAATAGCTCCTTTCGTACACCTTGTCCTGAGGAGAGTGTTGTTACCTGGCAGCGCTTCCTCCTTTGAATCAAAGGTCTGGAGATTAAAATCATGGTATTAAATTGCACCAAAGTCTTCTTCAGCCTCCTGTAACGCTTCCTAGAGGGACGAGAAAAGAGAAGAACTGGCTAACAAGGGAAGCATCAGCAACACACACACACATAGAGCAGGCCAGGAGCCAACATGAGGAGGGGCCTGGCCAGGCACATCCCCACCTGGCTGTCCTGGGCAGGGCCAAAGGGCTGTTCCTGGCCTGGCCTTTGACTCCTGACCTTGCCTGGTAGCCTCGGAAGTGAGCCTGAATGACTGTGACTTTCTCCTGGAGGACACGGAGGCGTCTGCGGTGAAGGAGGCACCGGAATTTCCTCTGCAGAGTAACAACAGCCCAGCTCTGCCTCTGGATCCATCGTCGCTCCAGCAGCTGCCTGGCCTTCTCCTTCAGAAACACCTGGGCAAAGGCAGCAGCTGGTGACCCACGAGGGAAGCAGCAGCTTCTCTAAGAGCTGGGCAGTAATAAAAGCTGCTGGTTTCTCTCTTTGCAGCCTTTAAGGGTTCCTGCTGCAGAAGCTGGGGAGAGCAGGAGGCACAGGTGCAGAGACAGAGATGGATGCATTTGGGGAGGACAAGGAATCAAGGAGTGATGAAGGTTAGTAGACAGCAAAGGGAGAAGCCCAGATCTCCATTAAGGAATGCTGGGTGTACAAAGGAGTTGGCCATGCTACTACAACAATGTGGAGCCAGATTCTCCTGTTTATCTGAAATGCTAAAAATGCCTCCTTGAGACGAGAGGCAAAGCATGAGAAGGCAAGGCATGAAATATCCTCTCCCTGGGATCTCCATGCCTTGCCAGCCAGTGGATTGGTGGCTGGGCCTGTGGATTAAGATGGGGTTCTCTGTAGGCATCACCTTTGTTACTCCAATCTGATAGAGGTCCGAGGGGTTCCCCAGCACACGAGCCAGCACTGCTGCACAGCCTTCTCTCTCCTCCAGGCAGCTGAGCCCTCGCCCAGCCAGGAGCCCATACCTGGGAGATGAGGTGTCCATGTGACAGAAGCCAGGGCTGTAACTCGAGCCCGAAGAGAAATCACAAGTGTGCTGACAAGTTCATCCAAGGCCGAGTGGCTGGGGAATCCCAGTCCTGTACCTGGCCAGGAAGTTCTGGAATGGAAGACGGATGGGGTATCCCTCCTTTCTGATGTGGATAGCCTCCAGTATCCCAGAATGTCGCAGCTGACAAGTGACATACTCCACATCAAAGATATTTGACAGCTGTGAAGATAAGGCAGAAGAAAAATAAAAAACAAGAAATAAAAAAAAAAAAATAAAATAAAGGAGGCAGAAGGCAGAGAGTTTAGAAACGGTCTCCTTCTGTTGTCCTGTCCTGAGTTTAGATCTTGCCATGATCTCTGAGCAATGGAATGCAAAATCCAATGCACTGTTTGGTGTCCAAATGACAGTGGCTTCTGTTCCTCCAGCACAGGGTTAACTCACACGGCCACAGGGCAGGGTGGGAGACAGAGAAAGGGGAAGAAAAGTCCCAAGCTACCATATGAAGCAAAGAAGTTCAAATCCCAGCTGTGAAAGGAGAGCTGTTGGAGAAGAATAGACTTCAAGGAACAGAAGTACTCCATAAGGAGCTCAGGGTGCTGCCCTACCTTTTTGGGATTAGGGGTGATGCACCGAATGAAGAAGGCATGGCTCCTGGAAAACAGAAGGAAGAACCTTTGATCACCCTCCTCTCTGTGCTGACCCTGGAGGACTTCACACATTTCTGGGTGCAACAGCATCTCTCACCTTCTCAGCTTGGCTGTGAGGTCCTGCAAAGACTGCTGGAATTTGGACACCAGTGTGGAGGCCTGAGGCTTGAGCCCTTTGCCCCTCGGCCCCAGCTTCCTTTGCTGACTATAGGCAGCTTTAGCCTTCTGGAAAATGTGAGACACCACCTGCAAAAACAAAGAAATGAACAAAATTCCCTGAACTACAAGGCAAGAATGATCTCTTCTACCTGAAACTACCCTCAGGCAGTCTGTGCATTTTATATAAAATGCATCAAATATGTGCAAAGACAACTTGCTCAATTCCCAAGTGTCCTTCAGTAAAACAGAACTCTTCATGCTTTCTCCAGGTTCTCCTGACATCTGATCAGGACCTTTCTGCTTCTCATGTGAAAGCAATGAGTGGCTCATTAGGTGTCTGCAACAGAGATCTTCCTCCTGAACCACTGCAGTACCTTGAGGCGGCTCTGAGAGAAGATGTCCAGCACCTCTGGACGCAGCTGGTCACGGTTTTTATTAAGAAACTTGTGAACCTGCAGAGACAAAGTCTGGTTTAATGCACCAGTCAGACCAGACAGACAGGCAAACACCCCTCTTACACACACCTTGACTGGGGGAACAAGAGGAAAGCCCTGGAGAATGAAGCTGGCTCTTCCTGCTGCCACCAAGAGTGGAGGGGACAATGACTTCTGCTTTTAGGAGGGATTGTTCCTCTTCCCTTCGCATTGCCCAGCAGGCTTTGAGAGCCCAGAAGGCTCTCACTTTTTTTCAGCAGCAATAGCTTTCCTGGACTTCCAGGGCTCTGGGACACCCAGTGCAGGCTATTGTGTCACTGAGGTCAATAACTATTTTGCTTCTGCCCAGAGGCAACTAAATTGCTTCTCCTGATAAGAATCTCTTAATCTGTGATAAACTGATGCTCTAGAGGGATGTGGAGTTACTAAGGGAGGGTTTTGGTCACAGGACTGGGAGCTGGGCACCCACAGCTTATCTCCAAGCTGAGCTATTGCTCCAGCTGCTCTGAGCCCCTGCCAGCTCACCTGGTAGGTGACAGGGCCTGCATAGTGCTTCACAGTGAACACTGGCAAGGGCAGCTTGGGCTTGGTGTACCAGGGGCTGTTTCCATGATGGTAGTGACACTTTTGGAGGAAAGTGTGGTCTGTGGCCTGTAAAGGAGATGACAAATATTCCCTGCTGCTGCAACGTATTCAACAGACTGAAAAGCTGCTGTTAAACCAAAGGAAAAAACATCTAATACTGGTGCAGACACAGTAGCTGTTCAGTCTGGATAACAACTTCACCATAATCACCCTGTGAAAGGGATTACACGAGAGGCCAAGAGCTTCTCACCTGAGTCAGTGATGTCTGGTCATCCAGGATGCACAAGATGCCGTGGGGTTTTGCAGTGAGGAAATCGAGGCACGACTCGCTGTACATCTTGGAAATAGGAACCCAAGCTAACTGCTCTTGGCTGTATTCCTCCTGCATGTTAAAGACCAAATCCAGCCATGCAGACAAGAGCAAATGGAGGGAGTTAACAAGAGGGATTTGGTTCATTTATCAGGAAGTTGGTGTTCCACTGCTGTTAGGAACTTGCCTAGAATTATCTGGTTCTGTCTTATGAAACTTCTTCTAAAGCCACTAATGATTGTCCTAATTTAAGAGAGGAAGGCTGCTAAGCAGAGTGGTAAAGTGAACTGTAAAAGGCAACAAATATGACAAATACACTTTCATCCCCAGTACATAAATGGTACATAAAATGCTACAAAGAAGCCAAACAGGCTTTAAAAGTACTGGCTGAGGTCTGGGATCCTTCATCCTGACCAACTCACTTATAAAACCTGCAAAAGGGAGCAATGCACTAACAAACTCTCATTCTCTTAATTTTACCTTAATTTACCACAGAACTAGTAAAAATATTGAATAGGCTCTTTGGACTGGAATTCCATGGATACTGCTTAAGAAGACCGGGTCCATTCAGCTTCCTATTCACTGCTGAAGGATCCTCTTCATCTGAGAACACCTCATCTCATTCCACATGTGCTGCCTTAACATGTTGTGGGGGTTCCACTGAGTTCCATTTACCTCTTCCTGGGCAATGACAGTCTGACTGAAAAACTGCTGGAGGTGCTCGTTGGCAAAGTTGATGCAGAGCTGCTCCAAGCTGTTCAACCCGAGATCCTGCAAAGACAGAAAAGGATAATCCTTTCCAACACCCAGCCCAGCCACAGACCTGTGGCTTCCTGTAAATGCTGCACAGCCTCAGCTGGTGCTGAGCTGAGCTGCTGGTTCAGGCAGCTGGTTCTGATCAGTGTGAATGAACCACAGAAGTTCAAATCATCTTCTGTCTCGTCTGCAAGCTCTCAGCCTGGTTTATTGACTAGGCTGAACAGCAAGAGGCAAGCCAAGCTGTGAAGGAGCATGAAGAAGAAGAGATCTCTTGGCTGCACAGCCCCACCTACATATTCCATTGTTTTCATTCCCTTGTTTCTTGAGACACAGATTTTAACAGGAGTCCTAAGTAAAAAACTCAGAGGCATTGATGAGCACTCGCAGCCCAGACCACAGCAAAAGAACAGGCAAAGTAACCTCAAAACCATGCATGTCCACAATTCCCACGGCACAGTCTGATTCCCAGGGAGCCAACCACTCGTTGATCCTCAGCAGCAGCCACTCAAAAAGCAGGTAGTACAGAGTCTTGGCAATGGAGTCCCTGAGGGGGAGAGGGCAGTAAAACCAATTACTGCAAAGACTCTTGGGAGCATCTCACCAACCCAGGCAACAGCAGAAGTCACCTGGCATCGATGGCTCCTTCTACAGACAGAGGGGTGAAGATCCGGTCGTAAGATGTCACCTGGATACATAAAGAGCCAGAATTTACTGTTATTAACTGACAAATACACCTTTTTTTTTCTTTTCTTTTCTTTTTTTTTTTTTTTTTAAATCCACAAGGAAAACAACCCAACTAACAAATTGATTGTTTGGGGTTTTTTCCTATTTGGCCTGAGAATTTACCCAGGTATCAAAGCAAACCAAGAATTTTGCTGCCACATTTCTGGGGGCAACTCAGCTGGCCAGACTGATAAGCCTGAAGCCACCTCATGTCAGCAAAGAGACTTCCTGGATGTGAGTTCTGGCATCTTTACAGATCTGCCTTGAGGGATTCAGCTCATTCTAACCATTTTACTTGTCCTGTTCCCTCCCAGATTTTGGGCCTTCTCATGGTGGCCCTTCTGTTGACAGAGCATTGGACATCCTGTGCTTCAGGATGAACAAGAAATCACCAAGAAGGTACTCACAGTGACACGGTGAGTGACAGCACTTTGCAGGAAATCTGCTGAGACACACAACAAATTGGCCACAATCTGGATCTCAGTGTCACTGGCAATGGCAGCGTGTTCATAAGATTCTTTCTAAACAAAAGAGAACAACAGACTCATCTGTGGATGGGATACGAGTCCCACTGTATCAATATTCTCAACAGCACCTCAGCTGCACAGAGCTGGTCACAACAAAAAACAACCCTGGTAAGACACCAGGTTTATTTTGGCTCCTCAAAGAGCCACTCAAGCTCTAATGACCTTTGCTTGCCTCCCATTTCTGACCCTGCCTAGGTCAGTTCAGAGCCCAACATAAAAAGAACAGAATAGTCTTCAAAAGATGTCATCTTCAGTCAGGAATAATGTCCCTGGTCCCATCACGTGGGATAACAGCAACGTTCAGCACACATAACCCGTTCCCAAGCTGCCAAGGGTGAGGTACCTCGCAGGAGGTAAAGCAGATGTTCCCCAGCTGCAGAATGGCAGCCAGGACAGCCCAGGTGGAGTTCAGCTGGTCCTCAGAGAGGCAGATCCCCTCCAGAGCTTGCACCAAGACCAGAAAGTCCTGACTGTCCTCCTTCCCCAGGATGTCACATGCTCTGCCCTGAGAGGAAAGGGACAGATAATCCTGATCAGCCCCTTTTGCCCCAGGCTGGAGCTGAGCCACCAGCAGCAAACTTCACAGTAGTTCAGTGTCTTAAGAACTAGAGGAATCTGAAATAAAAAGACCAAAGGCGCCACTAGTGGGAGCTCAGCGTTTGTGATGGACCAGTCTCTCTCCTCTCTGGAGTTCTTGAGAGTGAGATCTCTCTTGCCCTCACATGCCAAGTTTCTGTTATGGTTCCAGTACAAGCACCCCAGCTCTCCCTTGCCCACTGCTGGGGTGCAGCTTGAGAGAAGAAGGGATGCCAGAATCGACTCCAAATAAGTCATGGCAGAATCACCACCCCAGATTGTACCAGGACCTAATGTGTCAAGGCAAATGGGGATCTGTGCACCCAGAGAGCCACCCTGTGTTACAGCCTGTCTCATCTCTGCCTCAGAGCTTCACTACAACACCGCCTTATCATGTTTCTGCTTCTTGAGCTTATCTCTACAGGACACTCCTAACAACAGCCCTAAAGTTCACAGAAATCCTGGGTCGGGCTGGGGGGGGACTGTGGAACCTGTTTGTGTACAAGGGCATTCTTTGATCAAAGTTTCAAGCTACTCTCAGATTCCAATGAGACAAGGATGAGGTCCAGGCAGCCCCTGGGCCAACACCAAGATCCAAGAGAGATTTTGTCTGTCTCTGCCAACTTCTTTGTGCATAATCTGATCTTTTTTCCTTTCTTTCTCTGCAGCCGACCGAGACATTCCTGTTAACTATCACCTTGAAGCGTTTGGTTTACAATGCTTTGCCAGCCAGGAACGTCACCCATCAAGGGATGGGCCCCTAATTGCCCTCCATCCTTGAGTCATTATTGGTACTTGTCCATTCCTTGCCTGAAGGCAAGATGACAGCAATCACCATCGAGGATTCCTCACACAACCACAGCTGCTGCGAAGAGCTGCTGCTCCCACCTGGGAAAGCTGACTCACACGGCTGAAAGAGGAAAGATCTCTTGCTACTTCTGTGAACTCTTTGGGTGTGGAAAACAAAACAAAAAAACCCCAACAAACAAGCAAACAAAACAAACAACCTCCCAAAACACAATCAGACAAAAACAAAACTTGTTTCAAAGATTACGACTTGACGTAAGCAAACAATTTTCCAACTTAAATAACTGTACATTTCAGAGTTTCAAAATTTGCACCCGTTGACTCAGGCAATGAAGCAAGTTTTTTGCAGTAGGTAGAAAGAAATATCCCCCATTCTTTGCAGTCCCACAATAAAGTGCAAATGCAAGGAAAGGAAACGAGGAAAGGATTTTTTTCACCACACGATGGAGCCACGGGTTTACACAACGACTCCTTTTTAAAATGTTTTGCTTAGGAGCAGAAGGGGCCTGAAAGGTGAGAAAAGAATCACGGAAGAGAAAAGGTATTGCTTCTTCGGTCAGGTGTGGGAAGGAACAGAGCAGACTTTAGCATGTCCTTTGAAGGACACATTAGCAGGGAAGCAAAGTTAGTGTCTCACTACCCAAACAGAAGTGATGTCTTGGCCATTTCACTGCATCAGCTGCTGCAGAGCATCCTCAGCTCACTCACCTGATTCAGGTAAAAGTAAGACTCTGCCTCTTGCAAGTACATCTCCTCCTTCTGCTCCATGGGCAGCCCAGCCAGCAGCTCATAAAACACGTGGTAGTTCCTCTCACCATGGGCCTGACAGGAGACACATTCACAGAGCTGACTCATGTCCAGTTCCAAACCCCTACAGAATACACTCAAAGAGCAGGACACAGACTCTGAAGTCAGCAAGACAAGGCCAGAACCATTTAATTTGGAAAGTTTCCAGGTTTTCTGGTTGACACCTTAGGAACATTCTATCTAAGAGCAGTCCTTTTCACACAGCTACAATATTTGACCTTTCCCACACTCCAGAGATAAAGAAAAATGAGTTGAGAAAAGATTTAACTCTCAGTAATCCGCAATAAATGGCTTCATTCAAGCTGTTTGAGACAGGGAGACCTTCTATTTTATCCAAATAAAATAAGTGATCACCCTGTGCTACACAGAGGGGACGTATTTCTTGTTCTCTTGAAATGGGAGGCAATTCTCATACTTATTCCTATCCCTGTTACTCAACAGTAAGTTTAAGATTAAATATCAGTAAGGGAGAGAGGGAGTCACTGGTCCTCACCTGAAATACCACTCGAGACTTCTCCAGCAGGTACTGGGAGATGGATGTTCCCACCACGAAGCCACTGAGCATAAGAAAACAACAGCTCCTGTCAGAGGCTAGGAACAGGTTTTCTGCAGATCACTGTCTCTGTAGATAAGAATGATCTAAGGGGTGTAGTCTACATGAATTTCCAAAATATTTTGACAAAGGTGTGGGACTTTCAGGGAAACCAAGCAACCACAGCATAAGAGGGAAGGTCCTGACATGGGAGTAAAGGGGAATCTTGTTAACAGTGTGAGGTAACCATTAGAATTCCACAAAGTGTCTGTGCCTGACCAGTAACTGAGGGTTTGATAAATGACCTAAAAGAGCAGCTGAACAACAATGTGACAAAGCTTCCTGTTTGTATGAAATGATTCAAGGCAGTGAAGATAAAAGCCAACTGTCAATAAATGCAGACAGACCTTAGAGTACAGAGTGGGCAAGAAAATGGCACATGAAATCCACTGTAGACAAATGTAAAGTGATGGATGCAGGCCCAGCTTCACACATAAACATACAGCCTCCAAATTAACCACTGCTCCTTAGGACTGAGACCTGAGGGTTATGGCAGACAGTTACATGAGAGAATCAGCTCAGTGCTTGGCAACAGCCAGAAAACAACCCAGGCAAACAAACCAAACACAGAGGTTAGAAAGGAGGCAGGTTCTAAACAGAAAGGTGTTTTTCACAGAACTGGTTAGACCTGTGGAACACTTGTCAAAGGCTCTTGCAGATGCATGAAGTTTGTATGAGTCCAAGAAACTGGAAAACCTCAAGAGACTTGGGAAAACTCCTGGGCTGCTGCAAATGGTCAAGAGCTCACAGAGTGTTAGAGAAAAGTGTTGTAGGTATTTGGCCTGTTCTTGTCTCAGTCAGAGCTTGTGGCCCATGTTGGGGACACCACACTGTATTAGGTGGCTTCTTGGTATAACCAGTTCAGCCATCCTTATGTTCTTAATTTAACACTCATCTTGAGAAGCAAGATCCATTCTTTTGTGGAGGAAACCTAAGGGCAAAATAGGGGTGTAAACTCACCCTCTTCCTACCCTGATGATAACAGGACTGAAGGGGAGGGAGGGTTATTTCCTGAGCCCCAAGCACTGCTCAGCCTTTCCTCACCCAGGCACCCTTCAGCAGTGCAAGGAAACACCCACAGGGTTTCTTCAACTCACTGTCGCAGGTGGACGTTCAGAAGCTTTCCAAAACGGCTTGAGTTGTCGTTGAGGATGGTTCTGGCATTTCCAAAACTCTCCAGGATGGGTAGGACATTGCAGGGCTTGAAGAAAAGAGGGAGATGACACTTCAGTAGCAACCACGGGTTTTTAAACCTAACGTGGCTTAAGCAACTATTAGTTTATAAATCTAAGAAAAATGGGACTTCAGTGATATAATTCTTGTCTGAATAAAAAAATCTCATTTTAAATGTATCTTGGTATCATTATCTCTAGCCAGCAGCAAGTTGCTGTGTGAGCTCTTCATGATCTTTCACTTTCCTTCTGCTCTGTGTTTGTTCAGATTCACCTCCCAGACTCTGATATAAGCTCTCTAGGGCAGGTATCATCTCTCTGTTCAAAAAGATAGATACACCACTCTAGACAGCACCAGACCTCAAGGATATTAATATACAGAACTACAAATACACCAGCTCTCCTCATGTCTTTATGGGAGCTTCACCTTGGACCACAAGCCATCCAAAGTCCAGCTCAGCTGAACAGGAAAAAAGAAATAACATCAGCCTGGCCTCTCTCTCCTATCTTTGGTTTCTTTTCCTTGCCCAACCACCACAGCATCCAGCCAACCTCTGTTATCTCTTACCTGTCTGATCCTGTGGCTGTCTGATCCCTGGTACAGCAGGGTCAGGTATTGCACAATTGCTTTGGCAGCTTCTGTTTTACCTGATCCACTGTGTCCACTGGAGAAACAAGAGGTAAGGAAGCTGGTATCAAAATAGAGTTACCTAATCTGGACACACCAGAGCCCTGTTACAGCAAATCAGTGGGGTTGTACTGATTTACAACTGAAGATCTATCACCTAGTGCTTGAAACACTGAGACAACTTAACAAAATGGTCCCAGATAAGATTCCACTGTGGAATGCCAAATGCCTTCTCTTCCACTCCTCTGAACTGATGTGAAAGTAAATATAAACCATTTCTGCACAGAGTGAAACAAAAATCCACCTTATTCAGGTTCTCTGAGAGCCCTCACACAAGAGCCAGAATGATCAACTTAAAAAGATGAAAGTTTTACATAAAGAAATTAGCAGGCCTTCAGGAAAGTACCTCATTTCCTACCTGATGATGACACACTGCTCCTGCCCTGACGACTGGGACAGCGTGTAGGCCATTTCTGCTATGGCAAAGACGTGTCTGCATGGACAGAAAGAAAACCCCTCATCAACTGACCTCGCATTTCTACCTCACACACCCAGCACCAAAAGGTTACTCATCAGGGATCTGCATTAGACACAGGTCCAAGCAACTACAACTTTGCCAAATGGGTTGTTCACTTCCTGTGACATTCATCCTGCTCTACCACACAACTGGAGGAACATAAAATACGCTCTGGAGCACAAATGGGACAGGGTTTAGGGAGTTATTCAAGAAAGAGGAACATACGGGGCATTTTCTGAGAGAGTGCCCTGATGGTACCGGGTAGCCACATCTTCAGAGTAGATACTCAGGTCTTTGAAAGGATTCACAGAAACCAAAATTTGCCCAATGTAAGTCTAGGACAAAAATAAGAAAGGGGAAAAAAGTCTGGTGGTTTCTTAGAATTTTCTGAATGAGGAATGCAACTGAACACATATATTAGTACAAAGATTTAAATGCCCTTTAAAAGAATACTGTCTGTTCTGACTATACTGTCATCTTATCCAGGGCGTGGTTTTTCAGTGTCATTTTCAAAGCTCTGTCATTAATAATTTGGGATAAGTGAGCACTCACTGGTCTGTGGTCATCTTCTCTGGCCACTGTCTATTCTCCCAGCTCCATATGAAATTACAGGCACAGGTTTGAACACCTGAGCCAGTAAAAAAAGAGAACAATTAGCCATCCAGAGCTAGATCTGGATGGCAACACTGTGAAATGTTTGCATAAACTCGGAGGTTTCTTCTCAAGATCCACAATTTTTTACTCAGAACTGCTTTGCTAAGATAGGAGAGTCCCACCAGGAGCAGCTGAGGCTGAAATGGAACCCAGGTATACTCACAGGATGCCAGTGAATAGCAAAATTACAGAGAAGCTCTGAAACTTTCTGATTTTACCCCCAATATTTCATGTTATCTGCCTTCTGAGCAAAAGCTGTGTGAGTATCCTTTTTAATCACTTTAATGAACGAGCTCTTGAGCTACTTGGTGCACTATTAAAGCTTGATGGAATAATATCAATAATTTTCTCTTACAAGTCATTGTTCAGAATGAATAAGTGCTGAAGAAAACCAAACCAAACCAAACACCACCACCCACAGTTTATCTCATACATAAATGAGATTGCGGTGGAATCTCTTCTTCAGGCACAGCAGGACTGAGCTCTCAGAGACTTCCCTACAAATAGAAGAAAGGACTGGTCAGATATAAGCTTCACTTGCATGTGTTAATAGTAGCCTTACTCAGCTATGATATGCATCAAATTAATTCTGTTTCCTCCCATGGTAGCCCAAGATCTGTAACGTGCTTTCTGTCGTTGAGCCAACTTTGAAGGATAACAATCAAGCCCCCGTGACCTGAACTAGTGCAGAATGCTACTGAGGGCACATACTCCAGCCTGGTTAGATCTTCAATCTCCTCAACTTCTGCACAGGGGTCTTCACACCTGTACACCTGAAATGCAGATACATCACTGACAATCAGCACAAGTTCACTTTCATTCCAGTACCGGAGACAGCACCTGTACCTGTTTCTGCAGGAACTCCATCTCTAGCACATCGTCACTGGCATCTTCTGCCTCCCACTGCTCCTTGCAGACCTTCCTCACACGGCTGCTGGCCAGCTGTGGGTCCCTGTAGATGGCCCACTTGCTCAGGTTCTCGATGGTCAGGCGGGGCAGCAGCAGCTCCGAGTTCAGCCACGCTGCAGGGTCACAGCCCTGGCCCTGCTGCTGAGCCCAGTGAGCACCAGGAGTGACTACAGACCCTGCAGTCTGGAGGACACCCGAGCCTCCTTTGACATCCACCTCACTGGAATAATCTGATGTCCATATTGGATCCTCTTCATGCAGAAGGAAGCCCTGTCTGCTGTTTCTCTGGCTTTGACCCACCAAAGACCTGGGAAGGTCATATTTGAATCTGCCACCCTGTTCCACAGGTGTGACAGATTTTCTGTCTGATAGAGATCTCAGTTTTTCTAGGGAACAACCCTTCCCAGAGCCCCTGGATAAGGAGTTTTTAGCCTTAACCAAGCTGTGGACTCTGGGGAATACTATAGCAAACTTGGCATCAGTAGCACTGCTCTTCTCCTCATCCAAGCATGGAGAGGAACTGCTTCCATGAAGAGGGGAATCACTAGAAGGCAAATCAACGTGTCCCACTTCCTCTGCCATTTTAGGACTGCTTTTGCCCTCCAATAATGGAGGAGAAGATTCCTTGTCCCTCGGCTCAGCCCTCCCCAGCTGTCCAGCTGCACCAGGGAAGGCTTTGCCCGACCGACCAACCCACCCAGCAGTGCTTAGAAGCCGGATTGCCATTCTGCTTCTGAATCCAAAAGGTTTGCTGCTCCTCTTCCTCTTCCCAAACTTCTTCAAGAGCCATCTCGAAATACCAATTGCACGTGCCACGCTCAGCAGACGAGCTTTCAGCCTTGATTTCTTGGCAGGTTTTTGCCCAAGCCAGCTGGTGACTTTTCTAAAAGTAGAATGAGTGTGCAAGTGCTTGGATCCTTTCCAATCATGCTCATGTTCTGTTTCAGAAGGTGCCTCTGCAAGCACTTCTTCTGCTTTCTCTTCTTTTGCCTCTGAAGCCTGGCCCGAACTCAGTTTAACTTTTCCAGTAACTTTTCCAACTTTCTTCTTCTTTCCAAGGAGCTGCTTATTAGATGATTTTTTAACAATCATGGAGCAGCTTGAAGTATTTAATCTTTTCTCTCCAAAACTTTGAGTTATGTCAGGTTCTTTTTGTTTACTGAGGGTTTCTAGAGTCATGGGTTTTGAACAGATGCTTTCAACATTTTTCAGGTCTGAGTTGGTTCCCAAAGCCATCTGGACAGGATTCGGTTTACAGCTTGGTAACAGTTTGGTCTCAGCATTTTTATGTTTCTTTTTCAGACTGAGAGGGATTTGGGATTGAGAACTTTTCTTTGTGAGCATCATCACTGCTAGTTCCTGCTTGCTGCAGTCTGATGAACTGTCCCTCTGTCCATGTGCTACCTCTTCACCTTGTTGTGCAATCTCACACCTCCCAGACTTCTCCTTCAAAGTCCTTTGCTGTTTGGAGAGCAAAGGGTTGTCTTCCAGCACACTGCCTTCATTGTTCACCATCTCCTGTTCAGATCCTTGATGTGCTTTGCTAAGGCCAACATGGAGTTTTGCTTTCACAGCACTTGGCAGGGGTTTTGTTGCATTTTCCTTCCCTTCATCAGTGGTCTCTTCAGTTCTGTTCTCCCCAACACTGTCAGAATTTATATGTCCCTCCTTAGATATATCTTGAACTCTGTCATTTTCTAGTATATTTTCCTTGTCTACTTCATTATTTTCTCTGTTCTTAAGACTCTTAACTTGGAATTCTGAAATGTTTACCTCATCATCTGCCCCACTGTCCTCAGCTAGAACACATTTTGGTTGTGTCAGCATGTCATCTTGCTTCTTCATCTTCTCCTCTGCTTCCAATCCTGCACATTCAGTGCCTTCATCCTCAGATTCAATTTTTCCATCTGTGGTTTCCTGCTCCCTTTCAGGTTCAATAGATGCTTCATTGCTTTCATCAACCACCTCCTTGTAGCCTTTGCCTTCAGTCACAGGAGGACCTTCGAGCATGGCTTCTTTCTCACTGTTGCCATCTTCCTCTTCTGAACTGCTCCTCTCTTCTGAACTACCCTTCTCTTCTGAAGAGCTGCTCTTCTCTTCTGAACTGTTCCTCTGTTCTGAAGAACTGCCCTTCTCTTCTGAAGAGCTGCTCTTCTCCTCACTGCTGGAAGTGCTGCCCACTACAGTCTCTTTTGTACCCATTTCTCGGGTCCCATGGCCTTCACTGCTGGAGTCAGAGCAGGAGTTTCCTGAGGTTTCCAGGAAATTTTCTTCTTCGCTTTCAGTGATGACAATCCTGGCACATTTTTCAACTTTCTTTTTCCCAGTCCTCTCACCTTTTCCCTGAGCTGTACTGCCTCGGGATTGAGGACTTGACTTCTGCCCAGAAGCCTCCTTAAAGCCCTGTTTCCCTCTGTGCTTTCCCCTGAGGTTCTGTGCCTTTTCTGGTGGGTTCTGTTTCCAAAAAGAGCCTTCAGCACTTTGCTCTGCAATTGCCTTTATAGACTCCAAGTCAGTGACTTTTCCCCTGACACCAACACGCTTTCCACACTTCTTTTTAGAACTGTGTTTCTTGCTGTTTGTGGTGGATTTACCCTCCTTGTCACTGCTGTCCTCACTTTCCTGCCCTGATGTCCTTTCCTGTTGCTTGCAGGCCTTTTGTTTGTTCCCCTCCAACCTGGACATGACCCGTTCTCTATGTTTTCTTCCCAAGCCAGATTCACTTTTATCATTTCTCTTGTAGGCTCTTTTTCCCTGGAATAATTTTTTGTGGCCATTTTCTTTGCTTCCCTGAAGCCTCCCCAGACTCTGGATTTTTAAGGGCTCTTCTTCAAGGGTGTCACCTTGTCCAGGCAGTGACTCTTTGTCCTTCAGTTGCCCTCTGCTCTTCCCTTCCCTCTGCCTCCCACAGTGGATCTTTGAGTCTCCTGGGGAGCTCATGTTTTTCTCACAATTCAACACTTTCTCTTTTCCAGCCCTTTTCTGCCGAGTCTTGGATGGGGAAGGAGGCATTTCTCCAGCGTTCAGGAGTATGTGAGGGCTTGTCTCAATTCACCTATGAAAGGAAACATTGTGCATTTTGCTGTGAAATCAGCTACAAAGGGAGGCCAGATCTTCCTAAGCACTAGTTTACCTTGTTTCTAAAGAGCCAAATGTCTGCAGAATCTCACCTGTGCCAAACTGACTGTCCTGTTCCAGGTTAAGCTCTGGTTTATTTTGTCATGAATCACCCTGATTTTCTTTTTTTTTTGTTAAGACTCTTGCCACAGGCAACTGTCCATGATTTTCTACAGTTGACAAAGATTTTGCCACACTGCAGTTTAAGAAATAATGATTATTTATTTCAGGTTTTGCTTCACTTTTGCTTTTATAGTATGCAGGCTACAAGCCCAAAAGAGTTCTGGACAAGGTTTGTTGAAACTTGCTTCCATCCACAGGCATCTCCCCACCCTAAAGGGGATGGGGAAAGAGCACACAGTCAAGATTGCTATTCAGCAAGCTTTAAGGCTTTAAAGCTTTGCAGGTGCTATAAAGTCTGACAAGGAGTGAGAATTTTTAGCATTTAGTACCTCAGGAAGGCAGCCTACTCTGCTGGAAGGAAATGCAACCGTTCTCCAGGACATCTAATGACCTGCTTGCATTCTGAAACTTGTCCAAGCATCCTTAAAAGTCATTAAAATAAAATTTTTTAAAAGGCCATTGAAAAATACATTCCAGTACTCTGAGAGCAAACCAGCAAGAAACAACTGTGTGAATCAGAGTTTGCCTCGCCTCAGCCACTCCAAGGAGGGCAGCAAAACCCCATTTCAGATTTACACAATCCAGGAAGGCTGATCCTCCAAAAAAAAAGCCCACTTGGTGTGTGTAAGGCACATGGTCTTATTGCAAATGTTGGGGTTTTTTTCTCTGTACTACCCATTCTGTACTCTTCTGCACGACAGAACAATCTGCAATGGGGAACACACAGCATCTCCCTTTTCCCCAGCTGCAGCTCTGACACTGAAGCAAAAAGCTGCTGCCCTGAAAGCAGTTACATACAGTTCAGGGTTCCTCAACAGTGTCTTTAGGGTTCCCTCTAAACTTACTTTTTTACTCTGGTCTAGAGTTAAAACATCTCAGACACATGTGTTGCACAGTGCAGAGCTCATCTCTTAAAACCAAATCCTCTTCCATCCCTCTCTTTAAACAGAACTCTCTAAATTACGTAGGTGTCTGGTCACCTTATTTCAGCCCTCCTCCTCCCCCCCACTTAATACCCCAATATTAGTGGCCTAGATCTCTAAATCCTGCAAAAAGACTTTTGTTGCTGAGATTAATGGCAGCTGAATTAGGCCCTAAATCCTCAGTACAGAATAGTTGTTAATATTCTGTTCTCCTGGGGGCTTAAAGTTGATACAGCTTCTCTACAGTGCCAAAAGCAGGAGAAAATAATAAAAGTCTGCTTTTATGTGCTGTTGCTAGATAGTCATGTGTCTGGAGAGCTAAAGCCTTCCACAAAACAAAAATGCTGCAATTCTTGGATGATGGGGAAGGTCAGGAACACAGCCCAAATTTGTAGGGAGCTTGGACACAGGACTTTGGTTTGACTCCCTGTGAAGACAGGACCCCAGACTGAATCTAGGTTAGAAAGTGAAAAACTAGAGTTCACAATTCTTCTGAGACAGGGTTTTAGAGCAGATTGGTTTGTAACACCACTATTATTACTGGGAATGGGAAGATGAATCACTGCTTATATAAACAATTCCTCTGACATCAGACCTGCTCTGATTAACTGCCCTGGACCATCTGGAGCAGGTGAAAGATCCTGCTCATCAGTTTTTCAGCACCCCTCACTAACACCAACTTCATCTAAATCACCACAGGATAAAGAACAATACAATTTCGTTCTCCCTTTTCAGCAGAAATAACTTACATCAGAGAAAAAGAGAACCCCAGTGCTGTTAAGAAACAGAGCATGAACCCACAGATAAAAAGAGCAAAAAGCTCATGCTGCTATTTTAAGATCAGTAGGGAATTGTCCCGTCTTCCCTAAACACAGTGGTTTCTCCCAGCTCACAGAGAGGAAAAGTACAATCATTAATCCTAAAGGGATTAATACTTGGAACTTAATTCTTAAGTTTCTATTTTCATTCACCTGTAGAAATTGCTCAAAGTCCTTCTTTTATCACTGCAAACAGTAATTTTTGCAACGTACCTACACTGTCCGCCCTGATTCTGTTGAATCCCCAGTATTATAGGTCACATCCATGTAATGGTAACATATTCCTTCTCCTGTGCCTTGTTTCCATGCAGCCCAGAGTCTGTTCCAGCCTCCTTGCAAGCCTTCCCAGCTGTGGAGTCTGACATGGATTCTGGCTGGGCTGCGTCCCAACAGCAGATGATTACAGGTATATGGAAGGAAAGTGGCATTAATTATTCAAGCTTTCTCGTGGTACCTTTGAACTTTTCAACCAGCAACATCACCAGCTGGTTGGCAGAGTTTGGGATAAAAGAAGAGGTGGGATTTCACCTAGGCAAGAGGCAGGCTCAGATGTGGTATGATGAGGTGCATCCCCAAAGACAGACTGACAAGGAGAGGTCAATTCCAACACCAAAACACATCTGCTATGATATGGGCAAGAGACTACCAGACAAGGCACAGTGAATACTACCTTGAAACAAGCTTAGGCCAGTAAAAGGGATTAAATCATAGGCCCCTTTCTTCTGCATCCCTGGAGTTTTATTCCAGGGAGCCAAGCACGGGTAGCTCAGCCCCTGCTCCCTTCTCCTTGCCAATACCAAGCCCTCTGCTGACAACAGGAAAGTAGTTTCCAGCTCGGCACTGAAAAGGCAGCAAAACTGGCACCATTTTTGCCCTCATTATGCCTGAATCTGAGTCCAAATCGAGGAGAATGACTAAATCTCCTTTCAGCTCGAATTTCCAAATAAAGCCCTTCTCCCCTTGCTTGCAGACAGGTCGGGGTTATTCACAGCAGGGGATGGTGTCCCTGCAGTGCTGCTGGCTAAGTCAGTGGTGGGTTTCCCCTGCCTAGGTTGCTCTCAAGAAACCAGGTAAGAGAGCAAACACAAATGCACAGCCTGGTCTGTACGTGCAGCCTCCCCCTGTGCTCACCAGGCTGCAAAGGGACAACACAGTCAGTGCAGATTTAACTACTCCGAGGGTGTCCCTGGTTCTTTAAGATTTCCCTCTCCTAAAAAGCCTTTCCAGAGACGGTGGAGATTAAACAAGATAAACTCAGGTGTGGCCAGCCAGCAGAACAAGTGACCCAAACATAAAATGTGATGAGTGCTATTAAGATAAGATTTCAGAGGTTCAGCAGCTTTAGTTTGGGTGGGACCTGTTTGTCTATCTCCTTCCAAGAGCCCGTGGCTGCTATGTACTGTACCTTGAGGGCTCCTTCACCAAGAAGCAAAGATAAAAACCGTGTGTGTGTGGGGGTTGAGCTGGAGAACTTAAACACTGCACCTAAGCTTTTCCTCACTGGATGGTCCACTTCTCTTAGTTAACTCTTTCATCCCGTTCTTTTATGAACTGTTTACAAAAAACTCTCTGCAGAGAGGAGACCTCTCCTGTAAAGCCCAGAATTACTGATGCCATCTGGATCACGAATTCCTTAAGGACTCTTGGGGAAAAAGCCCCCGGGGCTTTTAGCTCTAAGCTTTTAATGTGGGTATGGCAGGGAGGAGAAACTGCTCTGAAAAATCCAACTCCTCACAGCTCCTGAGGAGAAAGTGGCTCTAACAAATGTCATTATCAGCTGGAGCCTCTTCAAGGCTCTGCATAGCCCAGGCAGAAACCAGAGCCCTCTGCTTCTTTGATTTCTTTGATTTGTCAGAAGTCTCAGATGTCAGATTGGGTTTTGCCCAGGGATGGCCAAGATGAAGCCACTGATCATGTTCACTTTCTTATCAGACTCCTGTCTGCTCTGAGCTACAGTGAGATGAGAAAGGCTGAATTGCTGCTGTGCATACAATCCCTCCCCACCTCAATCTCAAGCCTGAGCCTCAGCAACTCTAACCTGAATTCTCTGCACACACTGAACACTACATTTGTTTGCCATTTAAAGTGATCCTGGCATGATGCTGTCAGGGAAAGGGAGATAAGCACCAGGAAAGACGAAACCCTTCCAGATTTCAGCTGACTGGACAGTGGAGTTTCCCGAAGATTCCTTCATTTATGCAAAATATCAGGTCCTTTCATC